TATTTATAACTTGAACTTTATAGAACATACAGCAGGATATTATACACACATGCAATAAATGAATATTAAATTGTTATCTATTACAGAATTCTATCTCTATTCATAAAGTATCATTTATTCATTACTTAGATGACAATTAAATTGTTAATTACGAATATTAATTCAATTTTGTGATCAAATAATTCTTAGATAAAAAATAATCAATAATTTGATGTTGTCAAAAATGAATATAAAATTTCATTAAAAAAAAGAATTAAACAGTTCGTTGATTGTTTTTTTTTGTTTTTTATTTTTATTACTTAAAGTATTTTAATGAAAAATAAAAGTAGAATTATGAAAACAGTTTCAAGTCTATGACAACACAGTGTAGAATAGATTAATGCTAATAATAGTAATATGAGTAGTTAAAAAAATTATTATTGTAATTATCAGCTGTCAAATATTTAATATTAAAACTGACATTTTTAATTCATTTCCTTTTATAAATCAATACACCGTCAAAATCTGTTACTCTATTTGTTATAAACTGATGAGAATACTGAACGGTAACATTTGGGATCCATTTGTGGATAAATACTATACGTATATTTTTATCGTATAATTGTTAAATAACTAAACTATTCATATTCGTATTTCTCTTATTATAAGCTTCATTTTGACCTATGAACTATTATTATATGATTTACCATTCTTGAGTTATGCCCAGTCTATCAATTAATATCACCGACATTTACAGCCACATTTGGCCAAATCTTGTACAAATGTTATTTTCTATTTTATGGTACGATGTAGTCTGTTTGGATTGTGTATAAACCAAGTATGTTTAAAATAAATGATTCATATCTCAGAGGCTCGGATTAGTGTTCTGGACTTAACTGGCTGGGCTAGACAGGAAGCAGGACGAATAAGTACTCTAGACTGCCCGTACGGGTTTTATGCGTCATTGACCCGGTCGATAAAGTATTGCTCTCTAATTGTTGGTATGATTACATTTTACATCAATAGGAAACAGGGCACAAGTTATAACACTATTCAAATAAAAATATAATGGTGTTATAAATAATTGATATTCGGATATTGAACTTTACTTAGTAACAAATTGTTATGAAGTTGTTCATACATTATCGTCATAATTCGCAACGTGTGAAAAAATGTATTAACTATGAATGTTTTAATCGTCAGAAATAAAATAAACATGGTTTGAATATAGTAAAACCACCTACTTCTTGCTGTCACCGTCCCTAGCAACTTTAACTAATTTGAATAACATCAACAGTATATCACTATGTCACATGACATACGCATTTTGGTAGACCTGATTGACATATTTTGGTAATTACTACTTTGTTGTTCCGTGCTCTCTGTTTTCGTTTTGATTTCTCCAGTTGTAGATAATTATCAATTATTCGACCTGGCATACGAAATGACCTTAATTACTCCGTTCATAAAACAACAGGCTGTCCATTTAAGAAAAATATAAAAGTTTCCGGCTGATGCATTGGATAGCTGTAATACATGTAATACCTAAATAATTACTGAACTAGTATACTTAAAAATTTCTTCTATCACATGTTTATTCTGTACACATAATGTTACTATTTATATCAAATTGATCATGCCTGTAAACTGGAGTGAATTCTGTCATTATTATTTTCAGAATATATAAATTATTATTATTAATTATTAATTCAATACGGCAAATAATGTCTAGTTTAGGTTAAAATTGACTAATTATTGAATCAAGAATATTTAAATAAGGAAAAGGATGTATATTCGGAGTTGATTTTATGACACAACAACATGGTTATGAAATTGTCTCTAAAGCTTTGATTTCCGATTACCAGTAATATTATCAACACCTGTATAAGTAATAGCTTACTTGTTTTAGCTCGAAATTTATATAAACCCTGTTTCTTAGAACAGTTTGAGTAGAAAATGTTTCAATCAATTACATGATGATTTGTAAATATGTTAAATGTTTACAAATGGGTACTTTGATTGATTTAGTAAAGGTGTTTCATATAATTTTTCCTATTTAAAAATTTTAACGAAAGCAAGAACAATTAACATAACAAAATAACATGAGTTCATTATATTTCACGATTTCTCATCAGCTACTTACAAATTAACGGTAGTATTTATTAAAAATCAGTGTACATACTTTATATTATTCTAGAAAATCTCTCACCAGTGAAGATTAATAAAAAAAAGCAATAAGTATGGAAAAACTATTAGATGTCTTTATATGCTAAACAATGTGAATATTTATAGGTTGAATATAAGGATGATTTAGAATAAACAACTAAGAACATAGAATTATTTAGAAATAAGATATTAATGTTATAGTTGTGTAGCTCTTAGAACAAAACTGACTAAGTGAGTACAGATCAGACCAAAAGTGAGAATTAATAATGAAAATAAGAATCGCATAGCAAACACTGATGGATAAATTCATCACGGCAAAACATAATTGATAACTAAGTATTTTTGAATGTATAAATTTGGTTGAGGTTTTTTATGGCAACTGCTTCGGCAAACCGTATTAAATTCGACGTTGTTTGTTTATTAGTTATCTTTAAGTACTTAGAGACATCAACACTATGGTCACTATTAAGTAGATGACGTGCGATCGTAGTATTGAAAACATGTTGTTCTTTTAGTTTAGGCTTCTATAGAATATGTTCAGAGATGCGGACACTAACCTTCCTTTCTATTCTTCTAATATATGTATTTTGACCCTTACATGTATACTGGCAGACATAATTTAAAGTAAAAAATGTGTGAATTTGTCCACACGCTTGCTTCCAAAGTTTTGGAAGAGGCGAAAGCTTTTTCTTACCTGGAGTACATCAGCGACCAACAAAGAAGACCTGTTGTAAACGTCAAGGTGAGAATCAGAAAATCAAAGGCAGTAATCCCATTATCGATGATTATCTGTAAACCAAAAGATCTTTTAAATATGACCCTAGTTACAGTTAAAATAGTCCTACTGTGTATGAGACTTGTCGAACTTCCACCCCTATCAATAACAAAGTAAAAGCATTTACAAACAGCTGTTTATGCAAGACAATTAAGATCGACTGGCCAGAAACCTAGCTTGAAATCCTTAAGACAAACAGAATAAAGCCAAAACAAAGAACCCAGGGCGTAGGGAATTAGAGCTAGATATCAAAGCCATGAACTAGAAAAGAGTGCCCAGGAAATATCTCTGATTTAGTATCCTATGTTCCAGTAATGGGTAAATGACCAAGGGAACAAGTGATTTCACTTGTTATCACTTACTAACGATTCCAGAAATTATTAAAATCTGACTCACATGGCTAATGGTTAAATACAATTGGAGCATAAATCTCTAATGTTTTCCTTCTCGATTTATTGTAAAACTAAACAATTTCTATAAAAGACTTTTGAGCACTACATTTTAAATACATGTATCTTTTATTTCAAATGTGACTTATAAAAATGAATTCACCAGTATAGAATTGTGGTTATTAAAAAGTTTTTGATTGAGATCATGAACCGATTGATGTTAGATCACTACAATAGGACGAAACGATCTTCCAGTGCTTCCAGATTTTCAATAGTGGTCTAAAATCAATCCGTTTATGATCTCAATCAAAAATGAATTTACCTTTGTTAATAATTTATTATAACAAATGTTACTTGCTCTCAATTGACTTATCTTTGTAACTTATTTATTTACTAAAGATATGAATAATATAAATTGTCAGTAACACAAATAATGTTGGTCTTCTTTATATTCAATCCCAATGTTTTTAGTTTACTTAAAAGTTAATCAATGAATAATCCAAACAATAGACTTTAGAAGGGTTTTGCGGAGATTTTTAGAAATTTCAATAGTTGAAATCATGAGTCAATTGAATCCAGACCATCATAGAAAACCTAGAAGCACTGGATGGCCGTTTCGTTCTATTGTGGGACTCCTCAACAGTGCGCATCCACGACCCCTCTCTCCGCGAGACTCAAACCCAGGGCCTATCCGCCTCACACGCGAGCGCTTAACAATTAGACTACTGAGCAGGCATTCAACGGTGTTAATGTCTAACTTCAACCAATCCACGAAATTGCGCAAACGCACATCACTGTCTTCAGTGAGCTGATATCTCACAACAGACCTGGTTGAACTCCATTGTTAAAGGCTTCTCACTAGAACTCCGGTAAATGCCTCTTGATGTCAGTCATTAGTGAGCAGATGATTATTATTTGAAGGGGTTTTGTGGAGAATTTTAGAAATTTCAATTGTTGAAATATATAGATTTTTATTTTATTATAAATTTAATAGTTAACTGGAAATATCCAAGGGTAAAAGTTAATGAAATTTCAAAATATCCCAAGGCTATAAAAAACGCATAAATCAATTAAAAGCAATATGATAACAAACAAATAAAAATTTTTTTAAATAATATTTCAGGACTTAGTACCTGAGTGGATGACGCGATAGATTTGAGTCTCAGAGTGATCATCAACTCTGGATTGCAGGTACATCCAACTGATAGATCTCAAATAGTACGAAATAGGCGTCCTGGATTTCACTGTTACCCAATATTAAGGCAGTATTCACATATGCCAATAAGAGATTGATGGATTGCAGTCCTCAAAAATAATGGGAAGATACTAGCAAACAATAATAAGTGAATTAATATTTCATATGTTTTTAATTTAAAAAAGTTGTACCGACTCAAATCTTCTATTAAAAAGAAACAATTAATTACAATCCAGGTAGTTTATCCACTTAAATTATGTATATCTGTATGCAGTTATCAGTTCCTTTCACTCTTTTTGTTCTGTTAATTTGCATAAGAAACTTGTTGAAATACCTTGTATTAAAAATTCTATATTGTACCTAAAATATAACATTGAGTAATGCCATTAATGATAATAATCAGTAATTTTTTACATGCTGTTTATATACAAATAGTTTAAATCATAATGTAGATGACAAGTAATACATTATAATGCTTAAATTAATGCTTAAATAAATGACTTGTGATTTATTTAAAAACACCTTAGGTAAATCATGCGATTGTAGTAAAATAATAAAGAATTTGGTGACAGTAAAACGCATCATAATTTGATGATACATTAAACAATTATGAAAAACCACTGCACGATTAGTATTATATATATAGTTGTAGTGAACCCTGAAATTTAGCTGCTCCACTAGTGTGGTAGTCGACTGGATTATGAAGACCTTCACATCTGAGGAGAATCACGGAATACAATGGACAGTTCGGAATCAATTTGAAAATTTGGACTCCGCAGATGATCTGGTCATTCTATCACTTACACACCAACACATTCAGATGAAAACAACCAGTGTGGCAGAAGCCCAAACATCAGTGAGCCTCAACATACACAAAGGAAGACGAAAGGTCCTGAAATATAACACGGAGAACACCAAATAATCAATCACAATTGGTGGAGAAGTTCTGGAAGATGTGGAATCATTAACGTACCTGTGAAGCATCATCGATGAACAAGGAAGGTCCGATATAGATGTAAATGTGAAGATTGGCAAAGTAAAGGCCGCATTTCTACAATTGGAGAATATATGGAACTCAAAACAACAACAACACAAGATACTCAATATCTGTTTGTCAGATACCATCAGCAACTGTCTACTGTGAAAGAGGACAAACCAACTTCCAGCTGAAGAGGAAATTGGATGTTGGAAGTGGATAGGGTGCACATTAAGGAAATCATCAATGTGCATCACGAGGCAAGCTGTAATTTAGAATCCTGAAGTGAGACAGAAAAATGAAAGACTCAAAACAACATTTGTTTAGGAAATTGAAGCAGATATGTAAAGGAGGAATAGAAACTGGAAAGGATTGTCCAGAACATTAAATATATATATATATATATATATATATATATATATATATATATATATATATATATATTCAGTATCAGAACTAATCGGACATTCAACCATTCCGAAATTGTGAGTAGCTCCTGTAAAATACGCATATATTCGTTTTCCATATTATTAAATCATTTTTATACGTTTTCTGTTGAATAGCTTAGATATTATTTAAACATCTGCAGTTTGATCCACCACAAACTAAATCTCGAAAGCATCACAACGAGTAGGTAAACCGACTAGATTTTGAGATAAAAGTAGATTATATTCACATGAATCGAAATCCCAACATGCAATTGAAAGGAAATTACTGGAACGAATGATAGTAAACTCAGTGAACCTAGATTTGCAGTGTTAGAATTCTATTTTACTAACACAACCCACAAATGGAGATTACTATACTCATAAAATGATAGGAGTTAGTCAGCATCTTATATATACAATATAGCAAGCATTCAAATACAGTCGAAAGACGTAAATCAAATGTTGCACAAAAATATGATATACAACAGAAAATATTTTAACATCAAATGAAGGTGGTAACAAAGACCATAGGCTGAAGTTTGTTGGTTACTTAATGATATAACTGAACATCGATTAGTATTCATTGATGGTAATTTGAATTGGTCTTTGTTTCTTAGGCAATTATGATTTTCAATATAGACGAAGGAAGAAATTTAGAAAAGCTGTGATACGATTGTTTTATATAATGCATCACATACTATCCACAGATTCACTTCACTAACTGAAAGTTTGTTTATCAGCTTTGTTGGTTTATGTAAATCGTTTGACGAGTTAGTAACCTTTTTGAAATGTGTGCATTGTATTTAAATCAATCTAACTTCTAAATTCTTAGCAAATTTCGACACTTATTTCAGTAACTTTCAATATTTTTACATTTATGTATTTCATTTCCTCAGTTAATGGTTTTAACAGTTTCTCAATTAAAATTGAGACTGTTTACGTTTTATTGAGATTATCCAAAAATGTTGTATTGTTCTATCTGATTAATGGTCCATACTAAATAATGCCGATAGATGACTTTTACAGTTTTTTCATATTCAACATGATCATACACTAGATTGAATCTCACAAATGTTTAACTAATCATTTATGACAACGTTGATGATTTTATTTCATGATAAAAATAATTGTCCATTCGTTCATGTATCTCAGTACCTGAAAGATTTTCATCCTTTCTCAAAGCTCAGTAAAAATGTTTATTACTTCATAGAATAAATCCTCCGAAGATGTTTACACATCTCTTGACAAAATCAACATCACCTTATGTACAAACCATAATGAGGAAATTTTGTAGAATCTAAAAAAATTTCATTAAAAGTTTTATAGCTATCCTAATAATGAAAATGAGTTCGATTGCTCTTGAGTTGTTAAGTGTTAGTTTACTCTAGTAATTAAGTAACAGAGGACGGTGTGATGTAAATATACTGAACTCAAAAAGTGAACTGAATTATATATATAGACGGTTTAACTGTTTTTATTATTATATCCTCACTTACTACAAGCAGTTTTCAGAAAAACCATCAAACATTTTATTTTCGCGTATACATACTGTATTAACATAATTGTAAGATTTTTCGTGTCATTTATTCATAACATTGATTAAATGTTTTATTTAAAATCGAAATCCGAACATTTTTATTGATTACTATTTATGTATTGAATGAGCATTTAAATGAAGTAGTGTAAGTAACATCAGGCGTATACGAACCTGTGGAAGTACATGGATTGTTACATGCATACACAAGACACTTTCTTTCGTTTTAGAGAGTTTTTTGCAGTAATTTATATAGTGAACCAAATGTGCTTTCCATCAACAGAAGATCGTTTCCGTACTTAAACTAATTTGTCCAAATTGTTACGAATAATTTTCATATGAGGTATACCTCGGACAACTGTGATCATATCAAGATGCCGTCTTTACTACGCAAAAGTGCACTATCACTTTCCAATTTAAACTGAGTGGCTGATATATCTCAACATTAATGAAAAATATCGTAATCTATCTTACTATCATCTGGCAAATTTTTATTGCTTGCACATACCAAGGATCATAATCGTGAGAAAAATAATTTTATTTGTTCCTCATATGTGAGGCAAGTGATCATTTTTAACTTCAACTATTAGTTCTTCATATAAAACGTTGAATGACACATCTGACTATTTTATATAACCAGATAAGCAGATATACTGATAGATAGATAGGTAGACATTAATAGAAGACCTAGATTCAAAGTAGTCATTGAAGTGACGGTATTCCAGTGTATGGAATATAACAAGGGTAATTTTCGTAATTGATGAGTCTTTTAGTCATAGAACGAAGTTAACAATCTAGTTTCTGTATTTATCTCATCTGTAGAGAGGTATATTTTGAAGATCAAATGAGTGAAAAATGCAAATGAATGAAAAAACAATTTAGTATAGATATGATAACCATTAACTTAGCGAAGTTTGTACAAAAAATTAAACTCAATAAAGTAATAATAGTAGTGTTAATGTCATAGAAGTAAATGCAAAGGTGTTCCAGGTTCTATTCAGGAATAGGGAAGAAGTAAAAGTGCCAACAGACTGGGAAGAAGGATAGCTCAATCAGATGCCAAAGAAAGATCTCAGCAAGTGTGAGGACGAGAAAGATATAACACTACTATCAGTAGTAAGTAAAGTTTTCAAAAGGGTTTTCTTGAGCTGGATGAAAGATTCATTAGACACCCAACTTCGAATAGAGTATAAAAGCTTATCAGTAATTAATATAAACTTGTCTTTATACGGTGCAGTCAGTATCCAAATGAAGTTGAGATAATTGAACTACATAAGAATATAAAACACAAGATCTTTGAATATAGAATGAAGATGATGATAAAGGCCACAGATTGAGTTATAAGTTCACCTAATGAAATAACTGAAGATCGATTAATGATAATTGGTAGTCACTTAGGTTGAGCTCAGTCTCTAAGGAAACGGATAATAATACTGTAGGACAGAGACGAATAATTAAGTAGAAAGAGAAGGTAGTGAGCCTTGAGTATTCATATTTGTGGTTATTAATTATCGGCAGCAATATATTAACTCGAAACCAAACCGTAACATATCAGCGACGAGAAGTTACGTCAAACATGTCCATACTGTGACCTTAAATTGATATGATGTGGGTGAGAGAGTTGGTTTTCTGCATCTTAAGGAGTGTATGAACGAGATGTTATCGAATTTATGCGTCTAGAGTACAACACGTTATTTATTTTTGGATAGCATATTCTAAACTAACCTGGTCCGATTTTGAACTTTTAATGCATACACTTTGCCAAAATTGAGATTTCATTTTTTCTCATTCTAGTTTTTTATTTCAACATAATTGGTCTTCAAGTGCTTAAAGCTGAAGACCCTTTTACATAAAAAGCTATGAACCAGTAAGTGCAATTTTATTCACTTAATATCTATCAATCGTATTTGTATATACTGATAAAATCAAACATTTTCAGTTTACTAATAAAAGATGAGAACTTATCAGAACCACGATATGTTAATTGAACTTTTCGAAACAATTTTGATATTCTGTCAACACTTTAGTTTAGTACAGAACTTTAAATACTGCAAACGAAAAAAAACATAGAAGCTAAACTCACATTACTGATATGTAACAGAAATTTAATCACAATACGAACGTCAAGACAGTTCTATTGTAACTCAGAGAACTATTACAGCTATCATCAAAAAGGAACAAGTATTCATCAACAGTTGTCTACTCAAGATACTCAATATCTGTTTGTCGGATACCATCAGTAACAGTCTACTGTGAAAAAGGACAAATCAGTTTCGAGCGGAAAATGAAATTAGAAGACGTTGGAAGTCCATAAGGCACCAAACTGCATCACGAGACAAGCCCTAACTCGAAGTCCTGACGGAAAATTGAAAGAATCAAGACTACACTGCTTCGGGAACTGGAAGCAGATATGAAAATGATGAATACCAACTGGAAGGAACTGGAAAGGATTGTCCGGGACAGGGTTGGATGGAGAGTGCTGGTGGGCCATATGCGTAAATAAGTAGAATGACCAGGGGGTAAATATATATCACCTATAAAAATGTGAATATGTTTATTAATGTAAATTCACTGTAATCAACACATAATGTTTCAGTCTAGATGAAGTATTATTTTCAGGTCGTTTGAAAGACGGTGTAACCTAGCACACCTGAACATACAAAAATAAATTGTAAAACCATACAGAGATTGACGTAAGTTTGCGAAGTGATCTCCCAAAATCTTCCTGAACCATAATTAGCTTGTTGAAGTTGGAAGTGTAGTAACCTTATGTTGGGACCAAAGCATTATGTTTTACAATCAATCTTCAACATATTATATGGATTTCACTACTAGTCACAAAGCACCATTTCTACAAACTTGTGATAAAATAACTATATCGAGACAGTCTGTACAGAATACATGCTTGCATTTATTGTTTCAGTCTCCATATTATTTTTATTGCTGCTGATAAGAAAACGATTCGTTTAAAGTAACTTTCAGTGAATTAATAGTTTAAATACGTGATCAATAACATAGGGGCTATATAGATTCGAAAACACACATCTGAAGAATGATCAATAAAATGTTTTAATAAATGGTAGGCACTTTATCAAAGAATACCAATAAGATATTGAGCACTAAAACGTGAACAAGTTGTCATGAATAATTATCATATTTACTTTAATTAGATTAGCTGTTTCTAATTAGTATAAACAAATAATAAGTGTCCTTGATTGCATGTATATACGATTATAAATCATAATCAATTTTGACTTTAAGGCGTTTTGATTTATTACGCTATGGTTCCGATAAGATATCTATTAGTTTTTGTAAGCAATGTTTACTTAAAATTTATTGATTTTTATAAAACATCATTGCTGATCGATTTTTAACAAACATGTTAAATGCATAATGTGTCATTTAAACAATGTTGTATATGCTAAAACATCATGTGGTTAATTGAATGAATGCAATGAAGAAATGAAACAGATGATTTGGTAGGAGTTTGATAATGTACTGTTAGAGATTTCCAATTTGGAAGTTTAATTACACCAGATAAAAATATGTGAAAAAAATTTAACATATGACTTAATAGATTTCAGTTCAGTTTAAAATGTCGGAAAACCTTTAGATTTGATAGTCAGATATTTCAAATCATATATAAGTTTCACTTATCTGAAAGTTTACTAATTACCACTTATCTTCGACTGTTACCCCTCATTGAGGAGCATAGGCCGCCCACCAGAACATTCCATCCAGCTATGACCTGGACAAGCCTTTCCAGTTCTTTCCAGTTGCTATTCATCCTTTTCATATCTGCTTTCAATAGCCAACGTAGTGTGTTTTTCGGCCTAACAATTTTTCGCTTCCCTTCACGATTCCAAGTTAGCGCATGACTCGTAATGCAGTCTGATGATTTCCTTAATGTATATCTTATCAACCTCCACCAGCTTTTCATAATTTCCTCCTCATTTGGAAGTTGGTTTGTCCTCTTCCACAATACACTGTTACTGATGGTATCCGACAAACAGACATTGAGTATCTCGAGTAGATAATTGTGTATAAATAAGTGTAAATGTTTCATGATGTTTGTGGTAGTTCTCGAAGTTTCAGCTCTGTACAGTAGAACTGTCTCGACGTTTGTGTTGAATATTGTGAATTTGATGTTGGCTTGAAGACAGTCGTTTTGAGTTCCACCTTTTCTTCAAGTGTAGAAATGTGGCTCTTTCTGTGCCAATCCTCGCATTTACATCTATATCGGACCTTAAAATCCGTGATATTCAAACAAGAGGATTATTATTTCAGTATTATTCGGTGTTTATGAATTAAATTGACTAGAGCTGATAAATGGCAGCCCACGATCACCATTTACAAACACCTTTTCCATGTTGAAATATGTATTTATACAGATCGGAACTATATTAAATAAACCAGTGAACAATAACATATTGAATAGTTAGCGATACTTGGTGTTATGATGACATTAAAAAATATAGTTACATTCCTTTACTCAATGTGACTTTTCTGTTCAACATTACTTCCATTTTAAATTCAATATGATCATTACTCAGTGAAGTATTTGTGCCTGTTTTCCAAGTGTGATATTTTATTCGGTATAACATTCATTTGTTTGAGTATGATGTTTTATTCAAGATACGACATTCTTGTATCAAATTAAAACTTGTGGTGTCTGTCCTTATGTTAAGCTCAAATACCTCATTATTCTAACTTTCGAACAGCCCATTCAATTCATTCTATTTGAGTCACATTCTGACCTTGTTAATTATTCGCTTATCAATGTCTTGACTGTTTTTGTATGAGCGCGTAGGCGTATGTACACTTCTTATCCCGTTACTCATCACATGTCTGTAATTTATTTTTGTGGGCTTATAAATATTGATTAACTCTTTGTTAAATGGGAGTTGGCTTACCAGCCATCTCCACCGCGCGCCAATTTAGCTTCGCTTTCTCATCTTCGCATCGTTCCTCCGTTCGTTTGTCTAATCAACAACTATACAAAATATATGCATTCAAAACTCCATTCTCGTTATTTGACTTATTTAATTCCGTTATTAACTAACGCGATTTAAGTCAATGATTATATAGGTTATTATATATAGGTGATAGCAAACATTCGTACAATCATTACGATCAATTTGGAGTCAGATCTCGGGCCACTAAAAACTAACTATGCTCAGTATGACACTCAGCTTGTGATTTGTTATAACTCTGGGTATCTTTCATACAAGTGATTTTACCCTTATTATTAATTAAAATGAGTGTATTTTCGACTAGGGTCGTCGTGTTTTGGGTTTAATAAACCTTCACTTGTACCAGTTTTGGCGTTCTTACTTCACATCGTGGAAATCGCAGTGGTACCTCGTTTTACAAGTATAAGTAATAAGTGAACTTAACACAACAATTAAGGACGATCAGATATGAAAATTGGTGACGCATTCATAATAATTGACGATCAGTCATAACAGAAGGTATTTATCAACTTATCAAGAAATGTCAATATGCGCAAAACGTGTCAATTTCAAATGTATGACGTTCAATCACATGAGTATAGAGATGTACTAGTTCATACGTGATTTCTTTTGTAGGCTACAAGTAGAATTTTTCACTAAACAAGTTTAATAATTGTTTACGACTGGTTGATTTAACTAGTTGATTAAACATTGTTCTGATCAATACATGAAAACATATATATGCAAATACAATCCTGTCGATATGTGTGCATTCTTATCATTATTATTATTATTAATATATAAAACTAAAACCGATTTCAATCATTTCACACCCTATACTATGCGTTTTTGAAACTAGTAAAATGTTTCAATTCAATTAAAGTTTCTGTAGACAAACTCAACATTTATAATTTACAGATCAAATCACGGTAAGCAATGTTTATTAGAACGACGTAAATTATTGCATTTCACTAATATGAAACCACATTTGTTAGAACACTAAACTAATTTAATGCAGTCTGTATATTATTCTTCTAAAAGTATACTTGATACAATCAAAGTGCAATTATATAACTGAAAGTATATAACATTCTTTCGTTTTTGAAATAAGTCACATCATCTGTTGAAAAGAAATCTCATCCTAGGTTATAGTCTACATCACTTTGTATCCTCAACTCAGCACCCACATTAACGATGCACGTCAAAATTGTCTTAAAACCATCTATCACTTTAAAGTATTAATAAGGATCAAACGGATTAAAAAGTTTCGAATGCTCAAACACTGTAAGGTCTTCGAAACTACGTTTTTGATTGATAGGAAAAGAGAAGTGACGGAATACATGTACAGATAAGATAAATACAGTGAATTTCACACCTCCAAATATTTCCAGTCTTGTTTTGTTCATGATACTCGTGTGAATTACTGTTTTCTGTTTACATTGAATTGGAAATTTGACCTATTTCAGGTAGTTTGTTCGCTCGTATTCACATCTAAATGGTAATATATTATTATAATAGGTTAACTCTTTTCCTAATCGATCTTGTGATACCAAATGTTACTGGGATCACTGAATTGGGAATTCAAACTGATGAATTAGTTTCCCGTGCCTCAACACATGATCGAATGAAATACAACTGCGGTTAAAGATATTTGTCTTGTAAAACAGTCAATTGCTGAACGAAATAGTTCATTGTTTCGTCAACATACTTCAGTATTTGATACCATATAGTAATTTGATGTATATTATGTTTCTAATGTAGGGTTGTTTTCTACTAGTTTGAAATTCGAACACAATCTTTCCCGACAGATATGCTTTTATAGTAGTGTTTATTGGTTATTATCAGTGTTTTAATAAATCGATCAGAGACGAAAAACCAGAGGACAATTAAAGGTAATAAACTAGCTTGAATCGGAAAAAAAGACAATCTATAGTTTTAAAGTTTAATACATTGATGCATAAAATTCATTTTTGCATCACTAAAAAAATTCAGAAGGTCGATGGGAGAAACGAGAACCAGCAGAGTAACTGACATAGCTTCAGATTTTCACCTGGTGGTTGCCAAGATGAAAATGAAGCTAAAGAAGCAATGGACAAGTGGAGAAACAGCTTATGTGGTGCCGACTGATTTGACTCCTATTTGGACGAACGTGTGAACATGCTATGAATATAGATTTTCCATTTAACTCCGTATATTATTTAGGCTGACAGCGTTTGTTTGACTGAGGTTATAAGCAAACAAATACAGGTGGCGTTGGACGAATTTATTTCCGACATCCGTTTATCCAGACGGAGATTCAGGCTAAGAGGTAGAGCAAAGAAGAGAGAGCGAAGCGAAACGAAATACCGCACAGTGGAGAAGGCAAGTGAGCCAACTCGATTTAAACAAGCGTGAATGGATGTTTATAGTCAGAACAAAAATAAGCTACAGACATGTGCTGAGTAGGAAAAGCAATGCACACACATACGCCCACCGAGATTTAAGAACAGAGGAACGAATGGGTGGAACACTTTGAGGAATCCTTGAATATACCAGTCCCACTCAACCCACCCAACATCAAAGCAGCGTACACAAACATTCCTTTAGATGCCACTCCACCATTGATCGAAGAAATCAGGATGGCCGGTCATCAGACAAATCAACAGTGGGAAAGCAGTAGTTGGACCCGACAACATAGCAGCCGAAGCCCTAAAGTATTGCAAATATGCTCCACGTTCTATTCAGAAAGATTTGGATGGAAGAACGAGTGCCAACAGACACATTGGAATGACAGATATCTCATCAAGTTGTTAAAGAAGGGAGATCTGAACAAATGTGAGAAATACACTGGCATCACACACTATTAGCGGAGTCATGCAAGGCTGCCTAATCTCCCTTTCATCTTTTTTGGTGGTTGACTGGATTACGAAGACTTTCACATCTGAGGAGAACCACGGAAAAAATGGACAAGTTGGATGTAACTTGACGATTCGGACTTCGCGGATGACCTGGCCTTTCTATCCCATACAAATCAACAAATACAGGCCAAGACAAAAAGCCTAACTGCAGTCTCTTCATCAGTAGACCTCAACATACACAAGGGGAAAAGCAAGATCCTGGAATACAACATGGAGCACAACAACCAGACTATTTACACCTGATGGAGATACTCTGGAAGAGGTTGAAGCGTTCACGTACCTGAGTAGAGCAGAATCATAGATGAACAAGGAAGATCCGATGAAGATGTAAAGGTAAAAATAAGTTAAGCAATCACAGCATTCCTACAGTTGAAAAACATGTGAAGCTCAAAACAACTGTCTGAAAGCCAACATCAAAGTTATGACCTTTAATACGAACATCAAACCATTTCAGTTGTGTGAAGCTGGGACAGGGGAAACTAGTACAACCGTCATTAAAACAGTACAGGTGTTTATAACCAATTTTCTGCACATGATACCCAATGTAAGTTCGTCGGATACAATCAGCAACAGCCTACTGTGTAAGAGCACAAACCAACTTCCAGTTGAAGTGGAAATTAAGAAAGGACGTTGGAAGTGGATAGGACATACATTAAAGAAAAAATCAGACTGCATCACGAGTCATGCGCTAACTTGGAATCGTGAAGGGAAGCGAAAAATTGTTAGGCCGAAGAACACATTACGTTGGCCATTGAAAGCAGATATGAAAAGGATGAATAGCAACTGGAAAGAACTGGAAAGGATTTCCCAGGACAGAGTTCGATGGAGTCACCTATGCTCCTCCACGACGATGGGTAACAGGCGTAAGGAAGTAATTATCTAATTTCTTATATTTACTTATGAAATATGCCTCTTAGGTCTTTTAGTGAACAACATTCACCCATTTGACTGGAAATTATCACATGTGGAATTAACAATAAGTTTTTCTGTTTCATTGAAGTGAACCTGATTCAATGAACATATTGAATTCACAATAAAGTTCACTGTTAGTAATTATTTACTTCAAATAAGAGAAAATCAGAACAAGATAAATTATTTTCTTACAATACTGACAGAAAAAAATTTCTCCACCTACAACTTCAAGTCTTCCAGCCTAATATTAATGCATATATATTTTGCTATTAATGCTTGCAGAAAATATTGCTCTCAATGGCACTGTGCCCTTTCGCTTGGTACAAACTACCATTTTTTGCCGTTATACACGCAATATTCTGGCTCCCAACCACGTAAGTATTATTTTTATGTTGTTACCTCAACACTTACAGTTGGTTATTTGTAAACTTAAATAGAAATATCTAAGACACAACTCAGTGATAAAACGTCAAACATCCATATTTCGATAAATTCAAAACACACACATATCATACACATATTTTCTTCACTTTCTCAATAAGTCTTCATATCACAATTGAAAATGTTTATTCGGAATCAGAGTGGATGTAAATGTATCAGAAGTGGATAAGGTGATTATGAACATTATAAATTAATACAAATGTTCACAGATTCGCTATAATGTTTAAGGAATTATGCAAGTGTATACTTTGTAGAGGTCAATTAGTATTGAGTAAATACCTGAAATGAAAATTTATTGAGTAACCAAATGAACATTACAAAACATAAATTTGATACTGATGATATGCATGAAACAAAAGAAAATAATATCGGTGTACAAATATTTCTACTTAAATTATACAATAGAAACCGATATGACATTGTTGTGGCTAATACGCGTGTGAGCTTCAAGAGAAAGAATGAAAGCGAATGAATAATAACAGTAAACTTATACTTGGTAGGAACGTTGTGACGAGTGTTGGATCTGCTACGCTAAGTAAAACGAGGTGGACATAGTATGGACACCTTACTGATACTGTGAATCTGACAATGATTCATAAGCCTTTCTAAGTTATCCAACTTGTGTACATCAGAATTGAAAAAACAGAGCAGTTTGTTATAGGTGGTGACATGGAATCATGGTGTAAGTATTGCTTGATGAAATCCAAGTAATAAGTAAAACTCGTGTATTTGTTCCTTAGTTATTTAGTTCTTATAATTTAGGCATCATCTACAAAGTATTAGATTTATTGAATTTTAATTTTGTGTTAAATATAATCCTTCAATAGACTCATTATTTAGGAATATTTCTCTTAATATTTACAAATGATCTTCAATTAACTTCTATTTTATGATTAGTTGTTTCAGAAATACCGTTTTGTGTACACAATACGGTCTATCAACTTGTAATTCACGCGGTTTTAAATTTCACTTTTATGACCACATGAACTGTGACGTAAAATCATTCATCTTAGCTCTGATGTCGTTGATTAGAAGTTTAGGAAAAGGAAGGTTTAGTGATGTATTCAGAATAAGAGTACAGAAAAATATATCGTAGATTCATTGTTAGAAGCTTATGACACGGAACATACATCATTAGTTTATTGTCGGTATCAAAATAACGATCAATGGAAAATCGATTAAAAAATTATTGAAATAAAACTTTGGACGTGTATTAGGAATGATTCTTCATGAAAAAAACACTCAGTAAAACATACAGAAAATATTAAATTGATATCACGTTGAAATCATGTTATTCTTTTGAATACACTCAGATAGATTTGGTTATCAGTACTGTTTGAAGTAAAGAGAGATCAATGTTTCAATAAATTTCATATGAACGTAATAATAATTATATACCAGAATGAGAGTAAACCAATTATTGAAAAATATGCTGATGTCCTAGCATAGTATTCATGAATGTAAACTTGTCTATGTAGTGGGGTATGATAATAAGAAGTATTTGAATTGTGGTAAGAACTAATAATCCCAGAAATAACGCAATTGAATCTAGAATTACGACACAAGCACTAACGAATGTACTGTATTTAGAATTCGAAATCAGGCATTCAACGAGTACAAAGCAATCATTAGTTCATTCAAACACCACATGGGGCCTACTGAAAATTACTTGTGTTTAACAGGCTCTTGTATATATTTCAATCTATCTTTAATATAAACCTTATGATCTATTCAGCAGAATTATACTGTTCTTGATTGACACATAGCTGTATAATAAAATGGGTTTTACGATTAAATGTAAACTTCGAACAACAAGACTGCCTTGTTTATATACATGATTCGATAATATTAAATGCACGAGGATAATTATCATCCATGAGTCCAACACAAGTATAAACCTGCTATCCGATATTCCTTGCTTTTTTTATTTAAAAAGTATCATTTAACTATAACTGCTTATTATTAAATTTTCTAATTTACACACTCATTTATACAAATGCTCTTGATTTAATTCCGAAACTAAGGTATCTGATCGCGATTTCCAATGACCATATTTCACCAGTCGTACCATATGTAAGGTGGGTTCGTTTGCTCATTTCTATGATCACGATTTTTATTGTGATAAAAAATTTGTACCTAGATTGCTAAAAACAAAACCGATTGAATATAAGATTTGATCACTCATTTATTATCTTATAAAATGGCTAAAAAGTGGTTTATCAGCAAACCGGTAATAGTTCCTTGTATATTTCAATAGCAAGTATTGGTTTCATGTTACAGAGTAATAAAAATATACAGAGCTGTACTTTCCCATGAATTAAAATGCTTTATCTGAACAGTACGTATTCAAAAACCTTATAAATCAGTATAATATTTGATTGTAGTCTGAAAGATTTCTGGAACACTGTTTTTATGACTTTATTATTGAAGTACTCCTCAATAGAGATGACTGAAATGAATCCTCATCGTGCTTGTCTAAAAAATGTAGTGTTACAATCTCAGATCAAAATGATTATAGTTTTCACTTGACCTGTTAAATAACAATGATTATTTAGAATTGATTATCAAGATTTACATAACATAATTGCTGAGTGACTGTGATGCATGCGAAGATGATTTAATTCTTTATTTGGCAAAGTTATTCTCTTCACGTACTTCATATAACATAAACAAATTTATCACTTCTAACAAAGTCATTAAGGCTGCAATTAGCTGACTCTTTGGAAACTATTCAGAAATTGTTTGATGTTCTTATGATAGAATAAAACTTCGCGCACTCATCGAAGATAAATAGAAGACACTCCAGGGACCTTATTATTTCTCAATGCAACATTGTTGCATAATTTTCACCTGAATTTATGAGATGAAGTAGGTTAATAGGTAAGATTATAAAACACATCCAGAATGCAAGATTTACCAAATGTAACATGACGATTTACATTGAGAAAACAATAAAAGAGAAGTAAAGAAACGGGCAATATAATAATTTTAATAGTTGAGATCATGGGTCAATCGAGGCTAGACCACCATAGAGAACCTAAAAGCACTAGACAGCTATTTCGTCCTATTGTAGGACTCCCCAGCAGTGCGCGTCCATGATCCCACCTCATGAGATTCAAACCCTCTTAACCATCAGATCATTGAGCCGACATCCAACGGTGTTAATGTATAACTTCAACTAATCCACGAAATTGATCTAGCTTCAGTTGACTCACTATCTCAACTATTAAAATTACTATAATGTCCACAGAACCCCTTCTGAATATAGAATAATTGTTTATTAGATTAAAGTACTTTATGTCATCACAACAAACAAAGTATTGAATAGATTTTCTAAGCAACTTAAAAGCACAACATTATTCTGAGAGAATCCAATATTTGAGTGATAAATTTCGAACAGCCTCATTTTACAGATTTTTACCAAATAATTTTTAAATAGATGAAATCTCTTTGAATGGATAGTGTAAATCATAACAATAATTATTGTGTATCTTCATCAAGATGAGTTCATAATAATTTTTCTTTAAAAAAACTCATATTATTCGTTGGTGAGACTATAATTTATGGACGACTTTTGAGCGACGCTAAAGTGACCTTGGGAGTGTCTACCTACTTACTAGGGCTAAATGAGGGTTATAGAGCAGTTTGAAGAATAAGGATTATGATTTACAGTTGATGGTTAGGGTTAGGAATTAGATTTAGGGTTTTCATCACGAACTGATATCAGCTGTAATGTCAAGACTCTGTTTAGCCAAATGAGTGAATGGATTTCGTGCCAAAATCTAAGACCTGTTATCGTAAATCTGATTGGTTCGTCCACAAATTATAATCTTGGCTATTCGTTAAAGATTAGACTTGGATGCTTTGTTAATCATTTCGTTAGCTGATGTATACTTGGAAGACATATAACTGATACCAGCCTTAGCAAATTAGTACATTTGTAACTATTAAGTAATCTGTACCAATTTAAATATTAGAGTATGGAAATCGTCAGATGAACGACTAGAAATTTTGCTATGAAAGGGATAGAAGTGTTGAATTCAAAGAATCAAGCTTATTCGGCTAAACCTAAATACATTTCAATAACTTCGGATATGAAAACCTAATCCCTTATCATTATATAATCTTTCTCTCCTATTTTCGATTCGTCTGAGCTTTTATTCATTTGACCTTATTTAGTTTACGTATAGAACTGTATAAATTAGGATATCAGTGGTTCTCCCATTTCTGCAGTTCAACTTCATTTCATCAATACACTTTCAAAATTTATGAAATGAACTGATTGTTTCAGATACTGAATAATGTTCCACGCATATTCGTACGTGAAAATTGATTGTTTAATGGAAAATTTATTTGCATGATATTTTCGAAGTAAATCTGTTTTATATTACACCTACTGAAAGTTTGTTAGTTGAATATGAATTCGGTGAATGGAAAACCATTACTAACTATTTTCTTCGCTAACAATGTTTCAACCAATTAGTGAATGAAAACACTTTGACGACAGAAAATACAAGTTTACTGTTCAATTACACTTTGAATTTTTTCAAAACCAATGTAAACTGATGTTTTTGACTAATTGCCGTTTATGTAATAATATTTATAGCGCACTTGGTATCTATCCACCGGAAAAGTATATGTTCATGGTTCTAATGTCAAGTTACGGAATAATGGGTAGGTTGAACTGTTTGTCATCATCAGTATATTATATTCTCATTCAGATTTTTGAAAGAAAATGCTCTTCAATATATAATGAATTTGAGTTTCCCATATTATATGTTGCAACATGATGATAATTTAAATGTTAATTTAGGTACGTGAGACATTGACCTGACGTGAGATCTATTCTTAAATAACTTTGAATGTAACGATGCATACAGTAGTGATGATTCTCATACATGTACCTAAGTTCCAAATATAAACACTCCTTATGAAGCCTCCACATGTGATTAAAAGCTTGTTAGAAGGTGCTGATAATTAATTATTTCATCTACTGAATTACTGATTTGTTAAAGAAACACTTCTGTGACAGACAATTTATCCATAATCATGCTTCTCATAGGTGTACTTAAGTGCCAATTATTAATATACTTCATGATGTCTGTGCATACGTTTTTGAATAAAAGCATAATCGACGTAATTATACGTCATCTACTGGATCACTACTGTGTTTGAGGTGTTCGAATAGAAAAGTGTTTGATTGCAATCCTGACGTAAATATTAACACTGGAGTGTAGATAAACCCAACCATTCAGTCCTGAAAAGGAGGAAACTTTCACCTGCTAGGTACAACACATCTTTTATGCGAATTGAAGTGAAAATATGATAAATTTCTTTTATCGACATATTAATAGATGGTTCGCTTTTGAATAAAAAATATTCCGTTTATATTGACAACTAACAAACTTCTTAAATCTATGCTACATTGACGTTAAATTTAGAGGAATGGTGGGAACATGAGTGTCGTTTATGTTTGGCGACCACACCCTCAGATTATTACGACCATCAATAAAAATACAGTATCCTTTGCAGGATTATGAAAAGCAAGTGTCATTTTATATTATTATGACCCAGGATATCTTTTTGTTCATATAACTCGTATACAACGCGTTTGTTCAGAAAACTCTTCAGTTTCACTCATTGCTTTGTCTACTCTTGTCACCTACACACTCTTTCTTGTTACATCTTTTTTCAAATCGTACATTTAGCAATATATAATCAATCTAAAAGAATGTTGTTCCTGTCCACTTGAAATCGTACTACAAGACAAATTTTCTAGCTTTCGATTCATCAAACTGATATATAAAATTTTTCTCTAGACTGCTGTGGAATTTTCATGGTATAACAATTGTTGACATACCAATAATTTTAGTTAGATCAAAGTGATGGTTGTCTATAGCCATACGTTTTTCTTCAGATAGGATGAGGCTGGAAGAACACTGAAGTGTAAGGAAATACCATGTTATTTGTCAGTGATATCGACACAGTTTTTCAGTAAAAGATTTAAGAGCCTTTGTTAAAAGACCAGAGGATCATATGAAGCGGTTATAATGGGTAGTTTTAACGTCCAATTAAGTAGTCTAAGCAAATCTGGTAGCCAGTCAAATAGAAAGTTTGGCTTTCTGTAACCAGTCAGTTCTCACTACGTTCAAACAAGCGTTTATTCATAGCGAGCAATAAAGATAATATCTACTCTACCGATAACCCTTCTATTTATGTTATGCAGATAACAGACAAGATTTTGATTTCTCTGTGTTATTAGGACAAGTTATCTAAATTATTTATCTAATTTATTTATTTGATAAAAACAATAAACGTCCATTTTTGTGGTGTTTCAGCTACTTTGAGTCAATGGATTTGGTGTTGGAAAGCTGGAGTTCAAATAGGAAAAATGAGGAGATCTATAATACTTCATTTTATACTTGTAGTTGTTGTGGTATTTATGACGATAGCTGGGATATGCATAGTCGGACTTTCTTTTGTTAACGTATGTTTATTAGCCTTTTCAACTGTGAGTATTGATATCATTCTGATTTACTAATGGTATTTTTTAAAAGAAAAATCTGATTTCAGAGAACACAGTACAAAAACTCAACTCAAAATGATAATAAATTGTCAAAACTAAGTGAATTCAAACTTTCAAGTATTTTAAATTATTTATTTCCCAATCTCATTTGCTTACGTTTTAATAGAACAGAGACAATGAGTAGTTTGGGGATAACAAAATACCTTATCACTTTATTAGAAATAAAGCTTATTTTAATTGATACAATTCATTATGATTGGGCTAGTGTTTGTATTATTTGATTGAAGAAACTATATTAGCTTACTTTCGTGTTCTCACTTGAAAACTGTGTGATTTCGATCAGAACAAATGACAGCTTGAATAAATTCTTTTCCGGTAAACGACTTTTGATAAACTGATTCAGTATGAATGCTATTTATGAAAAACAAGAGAACTTTGTTATCATTCACCAATACTTTAATTAGATTTATTCAAACTCTTACTTTATTAATCTAATTAATTTATTTATTATGATTTGAATAGACAAAAGAGAACAATGCTGAACATTATCATTTGACTTTATTGAATTTCATTTGTCATGTTATTGCAATTCCTTGTGGAGCAGTTGTAATCGCCTGTATTTCAAACAAGTGGATATTATATTGTTTTGGAAGATTATTTGTTGTTATTCAAATGGTACTGGCATCTGCTTCATGTGAGTGTTTATAAAACACAAAGAATTCTTACTAAATATTACACAAACTTCTTTTTTAATTCAAGTACATTCAATATATAGTTCTTACATAGATAATTAATGAGATCTAAACTTTGGAAATCTTGGACCTATTTTGAATATTCTATTTATCATCCATAAATCTGCTTGAAAATATCCCCAGTATATATATATATATATATATATATATATATATATATATATATATATAAAGAATACGCTTTTAAATAACTTTTAATAACTTAATTACCAGAAAAACCAAATATTCATTCAAAGATTTCACAATACGTAAAATATGATTTGACTAACATTAGACGAAAAGAGATTGATGTATAATACTAGTCATATGATAATAAATATCATTGAAGTTCTACTGGGTCTGCTGTGAGATAGTCACTCACTGAAGACAATAATGGATGTGTCGCTCAATTTCGTGGATTAGTTGAAGTTGGATATTAACACCGTTGAATGCCCGCTCAGTGGTTTAGAGGTTAAGCGTTCGCCCAAGACACCGATAAGTCCTGGGTTTGAACCTCATGAGGCGAGATCGTGGATGGACACTGCTGAGGAGTCCCACAATAGGATGAAACGGCCATCCAGTGCTTCTAGGTTTTCTATGATGGTCTAGATTCAATTGACTCATGATCTCAATTATTGAAATAAATTATATTTAAGTGTCTCATGAATAATTCTGGTATTCAAGAAAGGAAACATTATTAGGCAAAGTGCCTTTACAATGATTCATCAAGTATTTATACCTTAAATGATTAAGATACATGATATTACAATGAGGTTAGCACCTATACCTTGGTATTTTAAGCCACCTTATTCTCTTTTATTACTTGTTATACTTTTTAATACAGTACTAAAGTTAATTATCATATGTAAAATTAGCAACCATAATTTAAAATTTCATCGCACTCGAGTCGCGTTTGCAATTTTTGAATTTTAAGGTATAAATACCCAATACAAACCTGGTTACATTATTGATAGGTCGATTAATTTTTGAAATACAGCAATCGATTGTTTCCCTGCTTAATATTAAGCATGTTTCTTTAGTAAGTAGATTGTAGATTATGATTTTCTTTAAAAGATAATATAACTAGTGTGAATAATTTATAGTACGATATTCCGAAACAGCTTTTATGACTTCAAAGTTAGAAAAAAGATAATATAGATAATGCATTATTAAACCATTGAAATCAGTGTTAAAAATGGCTATAGAACGTAATAAATGCTTGAAATAGACAGTGAATCAGTGATGGGAAAGCTTGATTAACTGTGAATGTTTATTCAATGTGTTTATCGGGACCTAAGGTCCCGATATTTCATTAATTCATCTTATTTAAGTATGTTGATAAATAAGAATCCTTACCGATTAGTTGTCGTGTATACCACACAGATCTTGTATGACAGTAACAAATAATTCCTAATCTGAAAATCTCATCGTTTATACAGCTTTTTTCACGAGAACTATCTTTGGTAATGTAACAACACAAAGTTGAAGTTCCTATGAGTTTGTTTGTGAGAAATCACAATAAAAATGACTTTAAACAATTTGATAGTTTGAATCTTGCATGGGTTACAAAAGGCAGGAATTTAGTTTTGTTTCATAGTGATAACAGTCATAAAATGTAAATATTTGTTATCACTAATATACCGAGTATATCTTTATGATTACCGATAGAAACAGTAAATATTAAATCATTTTATATTCAACAAGCATTGACAATATTTATATTGACAAATAGGGTTGTAGCCATATATGGCGAAATTTATTTTGTTTATTATGTTATTCAACTGATAGAATGCATCTAATTATAAATGTGTCATTATTTTTTTAATTTTAAAAATGTTTACTTATATTTTTTATTTATCAGTTGTACATTTCAATATGATTGGACTTAAAGTTTTAAAAGCGAAAGATTTTTTCTATATCAAACCTTATGAATCGGTAAGTGATATATAAGAGCACAAACTTTGTTTGTTAAAATTGATAAATTAGTCAGATAAGGACAAACTATAGGATAGTATAATTACTGAAACCTCTATCCCAAAATGAGTTTTTGCTTACAAACATAAAATATTAAAGTGTCTTCAACATTTTGAAATATCTAAATGGTGTCACTTTAAAGCTTCCTTGGTTAACTCTAATGATCATGTTTTCTCCGATATGAAGGGAATGCATTTCAGAGAGCTAACTATTGAAAAAGAATCAACAATCAAAAATTCAATCAAATGAGACCGGCAAAACTTACTACACAGTTCATGTGAAATGATTTAATTTCAAAATGCTGGGGGAAGATTTGTGTCTCAAATGAATGATATTGGTTCTATTGAGTTCTATAGAATGGAAGATCTAACTGATAATCTACAAATGCCGTTCTAGACAGTTTCCTTAGCTTATACTTAATGGAAAAGTGTGATTACTAGTTCTTCTACAACAGTCAAAATAGTTCGTTCTGACGGTATTCGTCTTGACTACCCATGTCCTTAGGTAGCGTTGTCTTCATTAATTCTTTGTATTCACATTGTCTCGCTGATTGACTTTTAAGCAAGTAGTTGATAAAACATTTTTATCCCACATGCAGGATCGTGGGTGCATACTGCTTAAGAGTCTTTTACTACGACGAAACGACTGCTTAGTACTTCTACGTTTTCAATGGTAGTTTAGCTTAGATTAACTCATGAATTCAACTGTGAAAAGTTATGTACATATTGATAGACCACGTCTATCTCAATTTGTCTGTTGATTGGTAATTCATCTGAATGTCATGTTTCTAGAAACTTACAAGCAATATTAAAAATCACTCGATTCAGGATTTCAGAATTTTTTTCAGTCGAATTTATACACGTGGTTGTTTGTGTAAAATGATATCAGTGATAATATATCATGAACTTTCAGCAATAGTATGTGTCGATATATCTGTAATTGAAAAGGTGATTTCCACATAGTCTAATGTAGAGATTATCGAAGATGGTGGAATTTATTCTGTTAATTATGTGGTATTTATTTTCTTCCACTGTTACTGTTGTTTATAATGAACGTGAAAACTCCGCAATTACCCCACGTAGACCAGGGAATTCAATAACATTATTGTAACAATAAAGGAGTAACTGTCATCTCAATATTTTACCTTGGCAAAGCTAGAAGTTATGAGATAAATTATAAACTTACATTTGGAATTTAGAAGTATATAAAAATCATAGTTGTAATTAAATCAATCATGAAATAATATTTTTTTTGTATTTATACAGGGTTATATTGAATTTGTATGGAGTGCAGTAAGTGAGTGGTGCGTTGTTTTAGGTTGTGCAGAATTAACATTTATTATAGCTTTGGAACTTCGAGATTTTGAAAAACCGGTTGTAAATTTAGAGGAAAGTTCAAATTTAAATGTGTAATCGGTTTAAAATAAATCCAAGTTGTAAAGAATATATTTTTAGATTATTTTAAGAGATCTTTTAATGAAAGTTTTACAGAGATCTAGATATTGTACATAACTGACCATATAAAATTACTTGGCTGAAATTTATAAACTTGATAAAAGTTAGAAGTTATGTTTTCGGATATTCATATATTGATTTTATTTTATCAGATCTTTTCTGTGGAATTGTCATTTGTATATGGTATCCTAATATGAACTTCTAGTTATCAAGATGATAATAACTTGTACAGTATTCAAAGCTTATTTATGTATCAAATAAAAGAAATATTTCTAATAAATTGTGTTTATATCTCAATACTTTATAGAATAATCTTAAATGTTGGATCGTTTGTTGATGTTGGTTATGTATTGTGATTAGTTTTATTAATGTAGCGTTTTTGTGAATATAGAGGAAAACAACCAAAAATATACTTCGTTCATGGATATATCAATATTACCCTAGTTATATAATGAAATCGACAATAGCTAGTTTGTTACATAAAAACCAATATTAATTTCATTATTTTAGATTTATTTACTTCAGACATGAATTCTGTGGTATGTGCTACTGATATCGACAGATATAAGTAGTATGTATCATCAATCTAAAGTGAAGGTTAAGTAGATGGTACAAAAGAGAACGAGAACAGAGAATGATTGGTGTAGAAACGAAATAACAATGAAGTTTGAAACGACTGATTAACATTTTGCAAATGAAGTATTTACTGTATGGTTCTTAAATTTTACTAAGACGTTCTGTAAGTTTGTTTTCAAATACATTCGATTGTCCCCATATGTGTTCTCGTTGATTAAATTATTAGTTAATAAATTTCAAAGTTGATTCCAACTCCGTAAGTAGATAACTATGTGACAATCATAAATTCCTGTTTCTAAATGTAGATACATCTAATAACTAATTTTATTTTCATACAGTTGTTACTGAGTTCTTTGAAATGTTTTGAAGCATCATTAACTTAAAAGTTCGGTAGGGAAAAGTAGTTTACACAAGATGAATAACAAGATGCTTAATTGAATCTCAATAATTATTGTAAAGCTATTATGTCACTCGCCGGTTAAAAAAAGTAAAATGTATCAGTTATTCAGTAAATAAACATTGATTTTAAAAAATATCCAACGTTTTTGGGGATTAATAGTGGTCCACATTGTTACTTTTAAATTCATATTTTGTATTTAAACAACTTTATATATATTAATTTGTGATCTAAATCCATATACTGGTTTCAATTATCATTTATGTTTAGTAATTATCCTAAATATGGTCAAATGAATCATAACATTATTTTCAGTATGACAAAAACAATAATTAAGTAAGAATAGGATAGAAATTATGACATTAAAGAGTGAATTTTGTAGAACTTTTCGAACAGTTACTAGTTCTGAAGTTGATAATTCTATCAATGCATAAATTAAATACTTAAAGTCGCTTTTTTCAGTTCCTTCAATAATCATAATGACAATATGTACATATAATTTAATTAAATAACATTTCTAATAGATATGAATTATTTTAACCGACTAGAGGATTTTCTACCTATTTGTTTATGTATTACACCAAGCTGAACCGAATTCTAATATATATGTTTCATTTCTTGTATCAGTTTATCTTTGGAAAAAGACCTAACGAAGACAAAATAAAGTTCACTCTTTGAGGATTCAAATGTTCACTGATATAGAAATTATTTAAACGTAGCTTTTAAATTAAAACATTGAAAGTATTGAATTTTCACAAATAAAACAAACATATTTATTCATAATTGATCTGTATTGACAATCTTTATCTCGAAAACCGATATATTCAACATATTATGGTTCCAAGTGTTTGACTGACCCTATAGTTTTATTTTTTTGATTGTTGAGTGCAAATAACAGCATATGCATAAACGTAAATAAAACATATATTTGTTTTCTTAGATCTCTAACTAACGTTACAAGATTTCAATATTAATTGATTACAGCTTTATATAAATAAAAAAACGATATTGAAATCATAAACCAATCTAAGTTAAACGACCACTGAAAACCTGAAAGCATAAGAAAACTGTTTTGTTATATTATGCGACTCCTGAAAAGTTCAGATCAACGACCCCCTCCCAAAGGGAAATCGAACTCAGGACATTTAGCCCCACGAAAACGTTTAACATATATAAACTTTCGAGTTGGCACGCAATGGTGAGTTGTATTCTCCATTTATAACGAACAATCTCTTTCACCACACTCTAAACATTAGCAAATGGATTTAAACATCTAGTTTGTTTAGCACATGTATATTAATTACAGCTGATTGAATAAAAAGACATTAGTAAAGCTCCGAGAAATTCTCCAAAATTCTAATGTTTTTCCGAATGCTCAATATCTATAATCACTTACGCCAATACAAATATGTGTAGTTTGCAGTGATAAATATATCACGAAAACGTTTAAGCTTTGTTTCAATGCAGCTGTTTTATTAACTGATTATCATTGTGTGTTTGAATATAAATGTTCAGAATGGTATATACTTTGAAGTTGCAGATAGCAGTGATAATTACACATTATTGTTTTATTGTTGTGGTACATGGTTTCTGTGTTCTGTTCATTCAGATCTACTAAACATTCAAGGTTTTCCGGAGAGTTGATTGTCCCTTATGGTGTTCGAAACCGCACTACTAAGTATCGACGCAAAATAACTATTTAGACATATGAAGTTTATACAAATTATTCATCAGTCATATTCATGTGATTTTGATGATTATCCAGATTTTATAAAATAATACTTTGTATCAAATAGATTGTTTTAATGATTAACAGACTATGATAGAAACAAAATTTCTACTACCGTATTAAGTTAATTATCACTGATAGATTTTATTTCAATTAGCCTTTGTCCCTTGATGAAGTTAGCAGATGCGTGACAACACTAGTGTTATTCGCTGAAAAATTCCCAATTTATGAAAATACAATTATATGAACGAGTGATATCCGTTTTCAACCAATTCTCTACAATTATTAGCCAGATTTAAGTGTTTGGGTAACTAATATGAACGGTTAACTTGTATAAGTTTATACGTTAAATGAAATCGATAGATAAGTGATCAGAATAAATGTGGTTAACATGGTGTGAGAGAGTGAATAATGTAATTACAAATCAGAAATTACGTAATATGTAGGATAATATAAACTAGATGCGAATAAGTAAATAGGGTTCGATGCTGAATAAATTTCTCAATAACGTTGGCAGGTTTTATAATAATAATAGAATGCGCGAATAAGTTTAAGCTATGAAAATGAACATTAGTAAAATTACGTCACCATATTATAAGAATGATTATTAACTCGTTAGAATATATCTGTGATCAACTTAGAGGACAAAAAATAGAAACCACAATCCCTGTCATCATAAAAGAATTATTACTAAAATGTACAAATAATACACAAACTATATGGAGTAATCTATATAGTCAAGGGACCAAAATACTTTAGAAAGTTTTTATCACATAAAATAATACTGATAGCAGAAGCGTTGTATATATGGGCGAACAAGAACAGCCTGAACAGAAAGGATTGTATTCAACTAGCAACTACTTGGAAAATATTCGTTAACAAGTAATTGGACCCATTCTTTATCCAACCTGTTTATTTCACATTCATCGTTATTTCGACTGAAATTAATGTAGCATTACAATTATGTATTTGATAATTCTCATTTTGCATGCACATCAATGATTCAGCAATGATTTTTAGACCTTCAACCTGCACTTTGATTTTTCCTTCATATAAATCAAGTTTAATACCTAGTTTAAACTATGAATAACTCAGTCTTGCACATACGTTAATGCGTTATTTGAAGTGCTGCACAAATCACTTCCCCTGTCCTTGAATCTCAGTGATTGGCTTGACCGGTCTCTCTGCATTACTATCTTTCCCTACCAGTTTCTTCGTCGTGTTAAATAGTTGTTTCGTATTCCTTTTTGTTACGGCTTTTTCTACCGTTGTTGCTAGGTCTATTATGTATTTATGCTTATCCGACCTATTGCTCTTCTTCACTTACTCGTCTGTTTCAGTGTATTCAGAATTTGACTTCATTTTCTCCGTTCTTGTTCGACTGTTGTTCATTGCTGTCGTCTTGTTTTTCCTTTCTTAAATCTTTTCCAGGGTTTCGATAGATATTCATTTCTCTTCCCAATCGTTATTCATGGTAGTTTCATCTTTCTTCAGTACATCATGTAAGGTCTGGAACGTGTTGTTGACAGTTGTCTTGAATAAAACGGGTTTGCTAGTATCTAGAAGAAAGGCTGAATTGAAACTTTGTAATGCTATTTCCACAGTTATCTAGTACTTTCTTAGCTTCGGTTTCATTTTTTCCACAACCAGGTGGTGGTGATGATCTGAAGCTATGCCAGATTCTTTCTTGGTTGTCACGTCTTCCAATGACCAGCTGAATTATTTACTGATGCAAATATGATCTATCTGCTTCTAGTTAATGTGACCCGATGAGACCCATGTGGTTTTGTGCACAAGTTTCTGTGGAATATAGTGCCGCCTATGACCATTTTGTTGAATGCACGTAAATTTTCAAATCTGTCACAATTTTCGTTCGTTTCTCCCAGTCAGTCCATGTCTTCCCATGATATCTTCATGTCCAGTGTTTTCCATTTTAACTTTCGCGTTTAGGTATCCCATGTGGATGATAAGGTGCTCCTCGTATTCGTAGTTATTTGATTAATCCTCTAGATATCCTACATTGTTCGAGCGCTTCATGTACCTATATTAATTGTTGATCTGGTTCTTAGAAAGCATATCAGCAAACATGACTTCCAAACAGACTTGAGGATCACTATAAAGCGTCATATTCCTTCTGAATGAAGATCCATCAACACGGAGGGGAGTTTAATTGATTTAAATGACTTTATCTCGATAGCGCTAGTTCTTAAGCAAGGTTGTTTTATGTCGAAAAGTATTGCAGGGTAAATGCACAAGCATCCTTCTTTTTACAGGCTTGTAAACGATAATACTCTTAAAACGGCTCAGGTGGAGTTCACTAAAATAAGAAACGTATTTATTTTCAGGTCTATATAGAAAATATGATTGGTTTTTTTCATTATTGAGCATTGAAGCAACATTTTAGTACATGTTATTCATATACATGCTGTATAACCTTCTACATTTCGGTCAGTAGTGAATAGAAATTGTACATAAATTCATTGAGAACAACATAATGAGCTAGTAAAGTTTTCAAAGATAATTTTATTTCTCCAAACATGTACACGTAAGCGACTGATTAAATACTTGAATTTCTTTCTATGTGTACTGCATTCTAATCATTCTCAAATTAAATGAAAATCACTTGGGAAATTTGGATAGATTATTTAAATAGGTTACCTGGATTGACACAATCTAAATAAAAAAAACTTTATATAACTCTATAACCATACATCTAACATTCTGTCGACATTTTAACTGACAGAAACTATGACGAACCTTCTGGATTGCTGTAATTTAAGGCTTCAAAAAAATGCATTAAGTGGCAATGTGAATGTGATATTATGGATCGAAACAACTCCACAATTTTTTCACTTCGTTTATAAACATTCATTATACAAGTAGTGCTTATAACCACAAGTTATCGAAACTTCAGTGAAGAAAGTCTTCTGACGCAGCCACATGACGAATATCTACATGTGGGTTAGTTCATTTACACATGTGAAAATACAAATCCTCGTAAAAGTATGTACAAATAAGTACAATTCGGTTTGAGAAATATTTAAAATGGGGAAAAGTTATTCCTCATATATTCACACGGATTTATTGATTTCCTCGTACTGATTTTCATAAGTTCTTAATTCTAAGCCAGTTATCAAAGTGATTTCTATTAATCCCAATATCACGAACCATTCGCTGATTGCACATTGATTGAATTCCTTGTAACCCTGTAATAAAACAAATCAGTGGTGTGCATTATAAGTCTACAATATTCTCTCATCTGAAACGGTTGTCCACGTCCGAAATATATTGTCATGTCATGACTTTGATCATTAAGCTAAATGTTTACGCGAGGTACGTAATTCGATTAATTCAGGCGAAGCATTCGTGTTACTTCACCGGGGCTAGAATCTAACAAGCTGTTACGTGATATTGAGTCATGTTTCGTCAAAATCCCAGTTTAATTACTGAATATTCGTGTTTACGACAGGATTTTGTCTCTCTAAACTGTTCTGTTCATTTCATGTAAAGTGACATATATGTTCATGAGTAATTCGGTATACATTCATGAATCCCATTTTGTTAAATGTTTGTTCGACGGTGTACAATATTGTCATTGTGATATTCAGTGTTTGATAAGAGTTCAACGGAAAACTTTAATCAACTGAATGAAATGTCAACTCATTTTATATACTGATTGTAAATAGTGATATTGATGTTCTGCACTCACCGGTTCGTTTTCCTTGATGTAAAACAAGTTTTTTGCCTGCAATACTAGTAGACCAGCTTGATTAAAATAAACAACTAGAGTACGGAAATACAAAGAAACAAATTCAAACGCTAAATTATTTGATGTATTGTTAATGATACCAAGTAAGTAATGATATCGAAGTCTCTCTGAAATACTATTTAATTTATACAGACCTATAGAATAATCTGTATACTTCTAACATGAACAGGCATCTAGGCCATGTTCAGGCGTTGTTTGTTTAACAGTAAACAAACTATAGAAATAGAGAACACATAATATTGATAAATGTTGTTAGCAGAAATTTGGGTGAGGCAAAGTTATGGAAAATGACTCCATTAATTAAAACCAGTTAAAATACATATCAGTGTAGATCGGATTATTGATATTGATGAACATTAGTTGTTGTTGTTGTCATCTGAAATACAGAAGATTCGGTAAATGCTCACAAGAAAACACTTACAAGAAAAAGATCCGATGATCATTTGGAGAGAAACAATAATTCTAGCAAGTAGAAACCATTTCCATAGACGAAAATTACAAACAATAAGTAAAGAACTCAATGGAATAGCGACGGCATGGCAAATAAAATTACTCAGCGTCAAATGGAAATGTAGTTGATTAGTATCTTTCATCTGCAATACAATAATTATAATTTGTCGGTTACTAGAGTAAAGAATATTGCAAAATAATTATTGTCACATAAGAGGAAACAATCACTGATTGAGAATTCCATTTTAATTATGGTTTAATTGTCTACTATCTATTCAATGTAAATACTTCGTGAATTTTATGTTCATCTGTGATCATGATCTGTCTGAAACGAGTAAATGATACGGAGAAATTATACACATATGCTCTTGACAATGTGACTTTAAGACGAGTTATGAGTTTACTTCCCTGTGTAAAGTGTGAGAGCGTAAATCGCTATTCGCCAACTAATAATGAGACAAGGCATTATTTTATATTCCCGAATAAGTGTATGAGGCTATACAACAACGTAATTTCATTCAAACATAACCGAAACACACTACTAACGTAGAACTGGTTTTTAGTGTTGTGGGAGAACAGTTGAAGAGAGTATTTATTTGCAACGAAGTGTCACAAATCTTTATCTTCAACTCAATACCACAAACTCTGTCAGTAAATATCTATTATTATAACTTGTATACATTATATAGACTCAGTACAGTCATTACTTTGTTGTTCTGAAAAATATGGTAATCTCATAGACCAAGTTGTACGGAACGAACCAAACAATGTCAAATGTTTTGGACGATTTCCTGATCATCAGTTTCAGTGATTATATTGTTTCTCACAACTGGTCTGTGGTAGCTGTGGTTCTCTCCTACCAGGTAATTTGTTGCAGTGCAGAAGTCGAACTTGACAACTGAGACAGAAATGAGGACTGTTGTGTAGGTACTATACATGACTATAGTTTAAGAGAGAATGGTATGGTCAAACTCCAGTAAATGTTTGACTACTCAGATTTATGTAAGTGGTTTATTAGCTAATACTTCCCTACCAACAAAGTTGATATCTGTTACAGCAAATGACTCAACTAATTCACTTCGTTCTTCAAATAATATAAATGAACAGTGTACAAGATAGGGATTGCCATCTCCGTTGTTTGACTTTCATTTCTCAATAATCTTACAAAGGATTTCACGAGCTGGACGTACATTGAAGAATGATAACAGAACAATGCAAATTCCTGATATCGTATAAACCAATCCAATGAAGACGCAGATACATGGACGAATTCCGAACTGGGATTTCTGTTTGAGTTTATTTATCATCATGAAGCACCAAAACCACTGACTTATAATTGCTGAAATTTCAGATAAAAACTTGGTGAGAAGTAATCGAGAGGAAAACAAGCGACTGCACTGAAACATAATGATTCAGTAATGTGTTATCATCTATACCATAAGTCATCTCACAATTTATTGCGTTGAGATTATTTATTCTCATGTGACATTTCATAGATTTATGAAAGGTGAGGTATTTTCTGACTTGTCATTAGTGCAGTATTGGTGAGGTAAAACTTGGATTACTGCAGCCATTATTTAGTGGCTCTTTCTGTTTATTGAACGCAAATCCACTGTATTGATTCACGTGAGGAAATTAAAACCGTAGGTATTTGTTAGAACGTTAATTATAAGCAATTAGAAACTTGAAATCAATTTTTACGAGAATTAGAACAATTAAAATGATCGACTAAACTTTCGGAAACCGATATTTCACCAGGTTCTTAAACACATGCGCATAATGCACCGTAAACCATCACCCATAGGATTCGTTCATCGCTGAACATGGAAAAATTTAAACATGTGCTCCAATCAAGTCAGTTGTTCGTGTGTGGGCGTTGATACTGCCCAGGCGTCCAAACAGAAACAGGAGAGCACTTTTATTATTACCTATCAACGTAGTCTCTGAGTATATTCCGAATCATATTAGCTATCCTGACTGAATGAAATCCCCTAAAGAATTGTATCTGTCTTATTATCTTAATCAATGACAGTCAATAGTGTAGTTGAAAAACACAATCTAATGTACAACACAACGGATCTTAGTGTATAGAACATGTAATAAAACATGAGGGTTTTTGTTACTTTTTATGTATTCATTTTTCAATAATGGAACTTGATATTGATTATTCTGAAAGCAAGTGTTTGTACAAACAAGTATGAAATTGGTTGTCATCTGTTCTAGATAGTGTTCAACACGTTTGTGAAGCATGTTACGATGATCACAGCATTAACAAATTGTCTCTGTGAATTGGTTATCAGTAGTACTTCATCTCTATCATGGAAATTCGTGCGAATATAATTCCTCTACTTTGTATTGTCTACAATATACAACTTACCAAATCTCGGTAGAAATGTTAACAAGGATTCATAGTAATTTTATTTAAGATTTATAGCAAAATATCTGCAACATGATGAATTCGACTTTACTTACTCATTACTCCATATGAACCCAGAAAACACATAATCATGTATTTTTCCGGTGAATAGATTCCGAATGAACTGGAAAAGCATAAAATTATTATTTGTGACTAGTTCTATTGGATTGCTGTGTACACATAATCATTAGATTACAGGAAATAACCAAAGTTGTGGTCTGTTTCTAAACCTATTTCATTTAGTGTGAAACTATGTGAAGTACCAAGTGCATTCCTAAATATCATGAAAGACCACGTTTCTAATTGTCATCAAAACTTCTTTGTATTTTAAGATGATTATCATGAATGTACTTTGACTAAACTAGTTCTCAGCATTCAAATCTCGTATGCAGTTCTACATTGAATTGTGAAGTGACTGTATTTCTATTCGGGATTATCTATTTATCATGTTTGAAAATCTCATTCACTTGACATTTCGTAGGAACGAACATTGCTCTACACATTGACATATATTTCTCAAAAACATCTTAGTGTACTTCTTATGTGAATTCCAAAGATCTATGCTGTAATATTCACTGAAAGTGATAGGGGATTTTTGCGAACTAAGCACCTTGAACTTTCTAGCAACCAACCTGGTGAATTTATCAAGTCGTTTGTTCAGTTTGATTTAAATAGTTTACAAGTTGTGAGGGTATCACTAAAATGACTATCTACGTTATTCACTCAATATATCACATTATAGAATACCTAAATTATCTTGATGATATTCCAAGCGAATCCAGTTATACCATCCGACATAAATGTCTAATAAACGTTTGTACACACATAGATAAATCTCAAAATATCCTGCTCACCTTACAAATGGAACAAATGGCTGTACATGATCATAGGAAACAGCAACAACATATCTAACAAGAAAAGAAGTTTTATGAAAATATTCATATGTCCGTTGATGAAATACGTCTATTTCATCAGACAAACTAATTTCCTCAATTTATATCAAAATAACTAGTAGTTTAACAATCCCCTTACTAAGACAAGTAAAAAGAATTTTGTTATTACACCACAACTGAGGTAGGGAACTACTACACATCATTATCAATATCGTTTTTACGATGAAGTTAATCAAATTTATAGTAGAGTAGAACTTCACGGTTATTTGTTCCTAACCGAACGATTTTCTAATTGAGCTACTTCTTAATGCTTGTGACAATCTGTTGTGCAATCGACTGTTTGTGGATAACCATATTTCAGCGTAATGACCTTGTCATCGTGTTCCTCTAGAAATGTGTTAAACGAAATTAAATGTCAAGTCTACATGTGCTTAATAGCACTATTAAAATTCAGTTCTCAATCCAAAGCAAACACATACATGATGGTTAATTCGCAAACAATTTCTGTGATAACAAATACATACTACTAACCAATAAACAATCAGTGTGTGTGTATTAAACAAAAAGTTGATTATACTAAACTTATTATATTAATCAGCATGATAATTTATGAATTCTTCTAAACTCACATCACGGGCAACCAAAATATTGCATGGAAAACGGCGAATAACGCAACTCGAGAAGGATAAAATTTACAAAACAACATTGTTGGATTCAACCTCAAATGAAAAGAAATATCACGAACCCATTCATCCAGTATCTGAGATTTTGTAAATGTAGTTTATGCAGTAGTTAATGCCAACGTTTCAATGTGGTCTAATAGTGTAAATTTAAGTTGGTTGAATCGTCTAGTAAGTCAACTTCCGATTTCGATTTCTCAATGCTAAATGTCACTAACTATCAGTTTGTTCAATTTACATAAAAGTATGGAAAAATATATGATTTAAAGCCAAATGAAATGCATACGAATTCAAGACATCTCATGATCGGTAGGAACTGGGAAATTTATGATCAATAAGGGAAACTCCGTATTTTCTAATACAAGGCCTTACAGGTTATTCATGTAATTTCAGTTTTACTATTTTGTTTACGATTTGTCATTAAAGAACTGACTTCTGAAATGCTGAATTTCATTGTTCTGTAATCAGTTATACGAAAGTGATGTGAAGGAATATTCTGTTCCTTACATAAAATGTACAGATATTCAAGTTGGGAAATTCATTGTAGAGTCTGATATTTGACCATACCTTAAAACACACCAAACGCTTAATGATCTGTACGCTTTCAGGAAATGACACATTCTCAATTAATTCGTTTGATTCAATTATACTCGTTTTTAATCATTTATAAAATGAGAAGAAACGAAAGAACACTATACTATGTGAATCCAAATTAATTGGAGTTACAATAGTTAACTCCTGACTGAAACTAACATAGTTCTTACCAAATGTTCGGAACAGAAAGTTGGAAATCTTGATTGGAAAATATTACTATAATGAAATCGTACAACATCTTGTTTGATATCTTTATATAGTGATCAGAGTGCAAATCATCAATAACTATGTTTCGCACAGTGAAGTAAACATAAATGAAATAACATAAAACTCAAACAAAATGTACTCCAAACAGCCAGTTACAGTGAGATGTGTAATGCTTCATTTCAGTATGAATATAAATCTGGAATGCATAACTTACGAGATAATTACCAAAAGTCCTCTTATTCAAAATGAATAATTATCGGTGTAATACTGTACTAATAATCTAAATTATTTACATTAAGGTGAGAATTATTAATTGACGTAAAACATTTAATTCGAGCACTTCAAAAACCGAATAACATTATAATTGGTTCCTACAATTCAGATATAATCTATTAATATGGTCAATTAAAAATTACGCAAACAAGCATTAGGCACTATTCAATTGTTCACAGGCAACTAATGATTTTTCAACGGAAAAGTTCAGCGCAACAATTTCGTTTTCATTTTATTCAACTTGTTTTATTTGATTACAGTTTATAAGGACAAGTTAAATCAATTTATACTTCAACTCATACAGAAATGAATATCGCTTATGGTGATTATTACCTGCAACTAGTTATTATTTTGGATATGCTACAAAATCTCAGATAGGTGATCAGGTATTTTGTTTGACAAACGTTCCAATTAATTTGTTACTGCTACGTTGTCTGGTTACAGACATGAAAAATCTTATTATTGTTCTACGCACAATAAAACGAGTCGACGCCTATCAATGAGACAGGATTATAAATAAACTAGTCAAACCCACAACAGGTACGTTTCTTTACTGCACGGTAGTTTATTATTGAATATAAAGTTATGAACTTCAGGCAAATAACTCAGCCACAGGAAGTAAAGAGATATTTTTACAGTTTATGTGTTGGAAATGCAGATTCCATTTAACCAAACAGATCGTATCAATTTATAAGCCTTCTCACAACAAATTTGAAAAATCATCGTCTAAATGCCTATAGAGCTCACTTGATCAATTATAAACACCATTGGGAAGCAACCATAAATACAAATGTTGCAAAACCAGATGCAGATAGGAGTGTTCAGAACTAGTTCACAGCGAAAGGTGTTTCGTAAACGACGTCAGACGGTTTGACATCATTTACGGTCGAATTATAACTAGTGATTTTATTAACTGACTCAAACTACTGAAAAACAACAAACAGTTCAATATATTGTCATTGAACGATAAACTCTTTTCAACTAGTGTTATTACAACTTTGAAAGTCAGTGATTTCACTCATGAGAAGTGGTATTTGATTTCACACCCCATTTTAGCCGTAATGTTCGAGGTTGGTCTACTACTTCTTCTTCAATTCTATTCACTGCTCATTTTTCATCTTTCCAATTTAACAATTGGAGCTTTTCCTAAAACACCACCTAACCAATCTGTTGTCACCTCGTCATTTGATGTTAATTCGAGTTGCACTGGATGGTTTTCATCAATGAAAACACTGTCGGTCAACCGCTTAAGTTTTGTGTACTTACGATACAGTTCGACTCTTCCAAACGAGTGTCGTTGTATGATTGAAATTGATGAAGAAAGCCACCACAATCTCGCTTTTGTACTACACATCACCCAGTTTGAAATAACTTAAAATCCTCTCACTATAAAAAGACTTATAAATGGTTATTTCTATGTTCATTATCAGTAGTGACCCATTTTCACTTGAATCGTATTTCAAATTAATATGACAGACTGAGACAGACTATTGTGCAACTTTGTCTGTTCTATACGTGTTTACTTGCGGCATCATTGATTGGGTTGTATGCATTCATATATAGTTTATCCTGAACTTATACTTATGTGCATTTTTACACGAGAATGCTTTCTTATCTCTGTTTACTTATTTCACTTTGTCTGCTTTCATAGATAAACTGAAACCTAAACATATTTCATGTAGTTGGGATAAGGCCGATCTCCACACTTCATCCACTCATTCTCACCATCTACCTGTTTCTGTATGAATACCTCAGATGAATTCTTGTTGAACAACTCCTATTAAGCTTTTGTCATCACCATTGCACAATGCGGTTAGCCTAAGTGTAATTTTAAAAAATGATTGGAGAAATATATTTCATCATCGTCGTCATACATGGAGTCAACAACAAACAACAAATATCAATGTCGAAGTTTACTTAGTTCACTGACATGCAGTTATGTAGTTCATAGCTCAGATGAACTTTCATGATAAAAAAAGATACTCCCTCAAAAAATTATCATCAGTCATCTGATGGGAAACTTTTACTTTAAATGTCGCCTTTTTTGTTTATTAAAGATTCTTGTCAAATGGCTCCGATCAAACAGCACAGGGGAATATATCGTAATGATTGTCTTCTTTGAAGTCAAAATATAATACACGCAAACAAACTTAACTAAGATGAACCAAGCCAATTGGTCAATAGTTCATCCTCTCCAAACTCTGCGGATTAGAAAAGCCACTGGTAGATTGTGCAAGAAACTAATCAATTCCTCCACAAATAGCTGTTTAAAGAAATCATGATACATGAAACTATTTCTGTAGTCTCACCAGCCTATGTAAGAATAGCTCAAGTTTCGTGAACTATATTCAAATGCAGCTTCTCCGTTATGGATTTTAATTCTTATGTTGTTGGTGATATTATTAATGACCTGGATGTTTTGGTTGTGAAGCTGGTTGTTTTTCTGAACAAAGTCATCTCCACATACTTCGAAGAGATGTGAACTAGAGGAGTTTCTTGACAGTTGATTTACAAATCGTTCAGCTGACTTGGAATTCGGTTGGATGTAATGCCAAATGCATATCCGTTTTTTGTATGTTCGTTTTAGTTGTTTTCTCTATTGACCTAAACTCCGAACGTGCAGATGTTAATCCGTTACTTGTTGGCTGACCGACTGTGTCAATCTTGATATGTGAATTGACTGATTATTGAGAAGAGTTCTTACTTGTAATAGCCAGGCTCCTATTATGCCTAAAGTCTACAAATTAAGTCGTTGCTCTTGTGGTCATCATTGTGGTAAAGTCTAAATGGAGCTAAACTGTAGCAAAATGTAAATTGAGAATATCTGTCTAGTCATTATTAACAATTAGTTTCACTGTGTTTGAAACTTGTAATGTATACCCAGTACTGTCAAACTGTAATCACACAAATTGATTCAAGTTGAAAATAATTTCAAAAGATAATGTATTTTCATCGATAATTTGTACAAAATTAAAAGACGGAATATACACACACAAAATGTATAAACATGGAAGTATGGTAATGTTATAACTTGTCAGTTGAATGCTGCTTGTTTCGGTCGTCACTTATTATGAGGTCGAAAACGCTTATCACTTGTACTCGGAACAATGGAACTTTGCAATTCTCACGACGCGAAATTAAGAACACAAGACTGGCATATGTGAAGATTTATTAAACACAAAGCACCATTGTTGAAAACACATCAATATATATATATATTGATTCGTACACTCTTTTTGATTAATAATAAGGTTGAAATCACATATATGATAAATATTTAGAGTTATAACAAATCACATACTGAACATAGTTCATGTCAATGGAATACAAAATATCGTATATTATAAAGAATAAAAGATCGTACGAGAAAATAAAATAAATATTACATTGAGTAATTACATTGAAAAAAACCAATGAGTAAATCAATCGAATTTTGACTTTTTTTACATCATAACACTCCTTTTCTTTTTGTACTATTCTGTTCATGTTTCCGTAATTCCAAGCCAGTTATCAAAGTGATTTCTATAAGACCGAATATACAGAACCACTCACTGATTGCACATTTATTGAATTCTGTGTATCCCTATTTCGAAATGAAAAATTGGTTGTTGTCAGTGGAAACAACGAAGCAAACATTAATGATGCAGTATGAAAGTTAAGAATCAATGTTCAAAGTTATTTTAGCTGTTCTAGATAAAACAGAACAAAGCAAACATGACGTTCAGATGTTAACTTTCTGTGGTTTCAGAAAATCCATAAATATTTTCGCGAACTGGACGAACACAGAGATATCATGTACCTTTATTTCGTGATCTCATCATCAATAGTATCATATCAGTCGATAACAATTTGCATCTGTCGATTTCGTTCGAATTAAATAATATTTATTTCTAACTGACGCAGAAGTAATAAAAAGAATTGACAAAGCACGGACAAAATTAGTACAGTTGAACAACATATAGAATTCAAAACAACTGTCTGCAAGCCAACATCAAATTCACAATATTCAATACGAACGTCGAGACAGTTCTACTGCACTGAGCTGAAACTTCGAGAACTACAACAACAATCACCAAACATATACAAGTATTTATAAACAATCGTCTACTCGAGATTCTAAATGTCTGTTTGTCGGATACCATCAACAACAGTGTATTATGGAAGAGGACGAACCAACATCCATTTGAGGAGGAAATTACGAAAGGATGCTGGACGTGGATAGGATATCCATTACGGAAATCATCACACTGCATCACGAGACAACCGCTAACTTGGAATTGTGAAGGGAAACAGAAAAGTGGAATATCAAAGAACGCACTACTTCGGGAATTGGAAGCAGACATGGAAAGAGTGAAAATCGATTGTAAACAAGTGGAAAATATTGTCGAGGATAGAGTTGGATGGAGAATCGTGGTGGTCAGCCTATGTTCCTCCATTTTGTTGGGGAACAGGAGTAACAGAGATATGTAGGTAATTTCTCTTTTATTCACTTGTCGTTTTCAACTCATTGCGTCAATCAACTATCACACATCGTGTAACAGTATCAGTTTCGGATACCGCCAGTCACAATATCTATACAGTCATATTTTCAGTAGAAGTAATAATTCATCTCAATATTTTATATTGATGTAACCTCATCATTATCATTTTTCTATTTACAATCTTTATTTGGCATCCCAATCTAACTGTGGTAACCAATCCACGATTCAGTGAATTGGCTACAAAGATTCCAGCAATGTTTGCAACAATTTAGTGATGGATTCTCGAGATCAATGAGATTTTAATGCATAAATGCATCAAAAAGAATTACCTGTCCACTTATTCAAGTTATGTGACACAAGTATTTATAGTTGATAATGTACACTTACCGGTTCATGTTCCCTTATGTAGTAGATGTTCTCCCCATCAAACACCAAGAGTCCAGCGCGATTGAAATAAACAACTGGGGCATACAAATGAACACAGAAAACACGGAACATCCATTAAACTGGTTTAAGGAAGCTAAACAACAATGCTTTATTGTGTAAATGAGGTATGGTATTGACGAACCATAATTTTCACAATGGAACCAAATAGAGATATAAATACGCATATATTATTTCATGTGATTTCGATGTGTCACTACTTCCATACACACTCTTATCTAACTAGAGATTGTTCCCACAAAATTATCAGCTCAGTCCAAATGATATAGATGAGTGAGATAATGTTGAGGATGCTTCCCAGTTACAGAATATCATCAATCAGCAAACCTAACGAACCTTACAGAATACCTGCAATATGTGACTGTAAACTGTAAACACAATTATCACGACACGTGTTATTCAGTATGTTTGAAATTTCGACACATGATATATAACTTACAGAAATATGATCCGAGAAATATCTGAAGTGTGACAATAATCCTAGCAATCAGAAACCATTTCATTGGACGATAAACCCAAAAGACAAGTAATGAACCCAATAGCATCGCAGCTGCTTGGCAAAAAAAATTGACCATAGTTAAGCGATAGTGTAATTGATTGGTATCTTTCATCTGAAACACAAAGAATAAAATGTTTTGGATACTACATAAGACTGCTGTAAAAATCAGAAAACTAATGTTCTGTGAGCATCGTTTTGTGAATTAGTTATTCGGAAATGACAGAATACTGTGATTAACTGATTACGAGATAAAGTAATCCGAATAAATTTGTTACTTGATTAATGGAAGATATTATTCGTCATGCTGATGACTATTAAGTTATTTTTCTCACAATTCTTATTATCACTATTATTACCATGATAATCACCGTACAAGTAAACAGCATGGCTTGGAATTCCGGTCACACGTCTCGACTACATTAACTATCATAACACGTGACTCAACTAAATGTTTATTTGTTCAAATCATATCAATCAATGTCTGTTATTATACTTGTATTTTGTAATGGTCTTTCAACAATTTTAATCAACTAAACCTACATTAAATATAGACAGCAGAACAATGCAAATTCCTGATACGGTATAGAGCAGTGCAATAAATTTGCAGGTGTATTGACCGATTCTCGAATGTATTCTTTGTTGAAATTTCTTCCTCATCATAGATGACCAGAACCATTGACTGATAGTTGCTTCAATTAAAAATTAAAAGTAATTGAGGAACAGTGGGAAAATAAATACGGTACAATGTAATGCATTTGAAAGCTGAATCTACCAACTTCTAGTTTCGACTATCAAATTGTTGGTCGCTGTCGACTAATTCCACTGTTAAATGTAAGAGCACTCTGTGTGATTACCGAGCAGTCGGTTCGTATTTCCTCTTCCAGTTCCTCTCACACATGTTCCTCCTCACACTTCCTCAACACACAACGTACCTTCAGGTTAGTGACAAACCTACTCAACGCTAAACGTTACTAAAGAATCCAGTTCAAGAATGCAACACGTTATTTAAAATCTAGTAAATTATTACTTGTCGTATCCTGTGTTTCTATCATGGTGTGAAATATGAATTGTTTTGATAAGGTATTTACGTTGTCATTGGAAGATTTCAAAGCAATCGTACATGAAGAGTCCATCGAAATTTGTTGCTCTTCGAAATTTGTAATTCATCATTTGCTTACTACACTAGATAAGAGAATTATTTTTTCTATATTAGTTCTTTGGACATGTAGCAAGCACAATGTATTTCGTGAAAAGTCACTAAGCCGTCAAGTTCATTTCCTCTTCCACATCATGTGCATTCAATCAGAGTTGAATGCGTCATTAATCACTACCACTCAAGTGTTCGGTAGGACGTTTATGTAGAGAAGTAGTCACATTAGGAGGGAATCGCATAAACCTCAATTATGCAACAAAATTCGCCTTACTGGAGAGAGAATTTATTACAAAAACCTCGATACTCTCATGACTCTGTAGTTTACTAGAAGAGATACTCACTATTTGTCAGCTAATCACAACACAAAACAGATGGTTTTATCAACTCATATCCTTTTAACAGACAAACATTTTAAACTAGAGATGTTCTGGTTTGATTTTACAAAGAAGAAGAATCAGTAGACTGAATAGTGTTAGCTTATCAAGCTGAACTATCTGTTAGGCAATCACATACACAATATCTGAGAAGGTTATATAATCACTGATAAATGCTACACGGTGAAAGTGAATTTTCACATTATACATCCAGTCTTTAAACGTCCATCATAACTCAATATTATATATAACTTCAGTATTGATACTTACACCACTTGGACTCAAACGCACAGTACAACATTCGCTAACGAGTTGGAATCTTTTGTTCACTCTTATGTTAAACATACTTATACACAAAACAGACTAACACTTTACTTTGGCTTGGATACTAGAGTTTGTGTGGAGATTGTTAGCCTCCCTAATAACGCAAGTATTTGCTGTTTGGCACTTTATAGCAAGCTTTTCTTCTAACAACACTTCACAGAACTTGTAAATAATCATTCTTAACAAACTAAATAGCAGACAGATTATTTTATATTTAGTGACATAATATGATGATTTGAAGACAAAAATACACGGTTTATTGAGTCATGTGTAGTCAGCTTTAATAGGGAAACTAGTGTCAGTGGAAAAGTTTCTTGCCAAGGAGAATTATCGACAAACTTCCATACATCCTACAAGTGTATTTGTAGAATTGGAGTCAAACGGTACAACGACGAATTTCATGGTTTGGGTGAATATCTCCAGCGACGAACAGAAAATTGTAATTTCACAGATTGTCAAATGCTTCATGCTATACGACTCACTGTGGATCGGAAACTTACTCCGACAATCTGTAGTAAGGGAGCACAGACAATACTTAATTCCATTTGTTCACTTTACACAATGTATTCAGCTTAGTAAAATCATATAAATCAAAACACTGATGTTCACTTCTAAAAATTTGTGATATTATGTAATTTTGATTGTCGATTATGAACAAAATGATAAAGTTTAGTTTGCTTACTCATTACTCCGTATGAACCCATAAGCCACGTAAACATGTATTTTTCTGGTGGGTATATACCAAGAGAACTGTAGAAATGCAAGTTTATTATTTGCTAAGCATTTTATTGCATTATATTATATACATATAATTTGAGTAGTAGAAAACAATCAAGTAAATACAGTTCATTTTCCTCGAAAGGGTAATTGAGTAATGTGAAGTTACATTGTATTGGGACTAAATTTAATTGACTCGTGAATTCAAATAATAAAGCACTATAACAAACGCAAAGTCACTTTCTGATTGTAATCAACATTTGCTTGCCAGTAGCTGTATCCAAGACGTTTTTACTGGAGTTCTAATAAGAATTCGTGACCAGTGGAGATCAACCAGGTCTGTTGTGAGATAGCAACTTACTGAAGAAAATGGTCGAAGGGGGTACAATATCGTGGATTGGTTGAAGTTAGACATTAATACCGTTAGATGCCGGCTCAGTGGTCGAATGGTTAAGCGTTCGTGTGCGAGACCTATAAGTCCTATGTTACAATCCCGCGACCAGAATCGTGGTTGCGCACTGCTGAAGAGTTCCATATTGGGATGAAACGGCAGTCCAATGATTCCAGGAATTCATTGTGATGGTTCAGCTTTAAGTGACTCATGAATTCAACAACTAAAGTACTATAACATCCACAAAACGCCCCTCTAGATACAAAAAGGTATCATTTTATAGAATTATAGTCAATGATGGTCTAATGATTGGCTTCATTCTTTATTAAAGTGCAGGTTACCTTTGGATATGTCGTCTTTCTCAGCATAGTTGACGGAAGAATTAATATGAGGTTTAGTGTATTGTCAGTTCAGATAGTCGTCTAGTTTCGTTGAAGTGAACTACAATAAATAATTGTTATTTGCTAGTTCTTTTCAATATATATTTTATTTTGCTCAATCCTAATCCCATGAAATCTTCGTTCCATCAAGGCACTTAGAACCTTTAGACACTACTGTTGTTTCACTGTCAATGGCACTAGTGTGATTGTATTAACCAAGAATTTCCAATCAGGAAATTGACTGAATATTTGCGAGGTTTATCAGAATCATTTGGAAGAATTCCGAATCTCTACGGTACTTCTACAACTAATGAGAGAATGACAAACGTGTAATGCTAACTACACAGACATCATTCCACTTGGTTTGGGAAGATTTAAACAGTATGGGACATGGAAACATCAATTTCAAGGTATATGTCTCAAAAGATAAATTTATTGACATTTTAACCGTTAGAACATAACGATATCTTTGAAATTATCGTGTCTGTTAGTCTATCTTTACTGACATTCAGCCCATATTCACCACACTTACTTACTAACCAACGTACTTACGTATTCACACCATTACGCCAATTACCCTAGTTGTGGAGGAACATAGGCTGACCACCACGATTCTCCATCCAACTCTATCCTCGACAATATTTTCCACTTGTTTACAATCGATTTTCACTCTTTCCATGTCTGCTTCCAATTCCCGAAGTAGTGCGTTCTTTGATATTCCACTTTTCTGTTTCCCTTCACAATTCCAAGTTAGCGGTTGTCTCGTGATGCAGTGTGATGATTTCCGTAATGGATATCCTATCCACGTCCAGCGTCCTTTCGTAATTTCCTCCTCAAATGGATGTTGGTTCGTCCTCTTCCATAATACACTGTTGTTGATGGTATCCGACAAACAGACATTTAGAATCTCGAGTAGACGATTGTTTATAAATACTTGTATATGTTTGGTGATTGTTGTTGTAGTTCTCGAAGTTTCAGCTCAGTGCAGTAGAACTGTCTCGACGTTCGTATTGAATATTGTGAATTTGATGTTGGCTTGCAGACAGTTGTTTTGAATTCTATATGTTGTTCAACTGTAGGAATGCTGCCCATGCTTTACCGATCCTTGCTTTTACGTCTGCATCGGTTCCTCCTTGTTCATCGGTGATGATGCCCTACTCAGGTACGAGAATTTCTCCTCCTCTAAAACAGGTTCTCCATGAAATGTGATTTGGTTGGTGTAGTGTTTCAGTTGTATTGTATTTCAGAATCATATTTACCATTCATAATACAATTAGAATAAACTAAGCGGTTTCTTATCACACAAATATTTACATGAATTTATTTTTATTCAGTGAGGATTATCAAATCATATTGGTTACCTCAAAAATGGAACAAATGGTTGTACATGATCATATGATATAGCCACCATATACCTGACAAGAAAAAATTTAAGGTTAAGATAGATTGTATCATATTTTCAGCTGTCCATCTGCAAGTTATATCTGTAACTTCAGGAAACCATTTCTCATCCCAGACTTTATTGAAAAGATTCTATATTGCGTTTCCAATTATGAAGATAATATTATCGATTGAATAACAACATTCTACAAAAGAATAATTTCTACTTTTCAAAGATATTACTTAACTAGTTTGAATGGCAACTTTTGCTATTCTTAGAATTTGTTAGAATTCGTCTTATATGGTCTTGAGTCAATATCCTTGGGATTATACTTATGTTCCACCTATGAATTAATAGGAAAATCTTTATTAGTATGTTTTCCTAAGGTGTATAATTTTCAGAATTTTGATTGAGTTAATAAAAATAATGGCTTAATCCATCGAGAAGCTCAAGTTAAACGACCAGCAAAATCACCACCAGTGACGTGAGTTGTTCGATGATACCTAACAATTAAATGTGCATGGAAAATGAATAAGTTGTTAAGTGTTTAGGCAATTAATTCTTGGTCGAGAATGTGAATAAGTGAGTAGGCAAATAATGCACACCATCATACACGCCCACTTATATAGGCAAATGGATATGAAAGCTCGATATATGATTATATACGAAGTAGTGAGCTATAAATAGAAGTTTATTTCATTTGTATTTAAAATCTTCACGTTGTCGATATTGAAGACTTATAAATGCGATGCAAACAGTTATTGCCATAAAATTCATATCCAGGGCTACTTCCTGATATAAATATAAGTTGTCATTATTAGTTTTCTACGTCCCGTCTAAACCAACAACATCCAAAAAACGAATTTTTAAATTCATTTGATCTGCAGTTGTGAAGAAAAAAATACAACTGACAATTTTCTTCATCTAATTTGTAATCGCAAACCCCATCAAACGACATAATGTGAGCTTTTAATTTGGCGTAATCACCTATCGTTTACAATATAAGTAGGCAAATTGCTTATCAGGAATGTTGGCCTGTGAGAACACTTTATAGCGCATGTTAAAAATATATTGAGTATTCAGACGCTTTCTATAAGTTTGGTTAACAAAGTGTTTAATATCGAATGCCGCTGTTCCAGGTACGAGGAGCGGTGGTAATGTTTCAAACGCAGCCTCCGTTAACCTGCGCACCCAAGAATTACTGTCGTACCTCAGGGGACTGCACTCGTGATTGTGATGCACATTCCCACGAACGACAGTCCGGTAACCTTAAATAAACTTACAAAAGATGAAGGCAGGACATTGAGTGTTCATAGAAGTCCTTCATGAAAAAATATAATAACACTAATCAAATTACCTCCTTTGTCTAATAGGCTGTGAGGAACCGCTAGATGTCCCACGGCCATTTCTCCAACATAAAAAATGTGATATACGATTTCCAATCTCTATGGAAATGAGAATCTCTCACCACCTAATGGCAGTTCGTAGATCTTTCATAAGTTCTGATGATGCACTTTAACGCTTCAATTGATTGGAACGCTACGAGATACAATGTATTCAAGAATACGTTCTCCGTTTCTGTGACAATGTGAGAAACCACAGAGCTTGTACTTTGTACTTTACTATCCTCCATAATTTGAATAAAGTGCACTCTGTCGTCAAGTACTGACATTTTATAACAATTTTAGGACATAACTGACCAATTATAACGAATTTAAAACTAGCCATATATTTGGACGAAATGGAATGAAAAATACTGGAAAATGGGATGAAAAAACTTTTATAAAGGGGTGATAAAAATTAATTTATAAAAATTGTTTAATGATATTCTGATTTAAACATGGATAACTTCTTAAGAACACGGGATATATTTTAATCCTCCTCTAAACACCCACACATCATCTTTAAATATATTCTGTTCAGAAATTTCGAACCACATTTATTAAGATTCACAGTTCTCCCTAATTCTCACTGGTTTTCACGTTTTGACCGATTCCTGGTAAAAATCATTTTGTACGACATTTGAGTGTAAAAAATATATCAGATGACACTACTAAAAGCCCATAGTTGATCCACTTATGTTGTTTAGTAGGTTATCAAAAATGATGATGTTTTCCAATTTAAACAGAAAATGAAATGATCGTATATAGAAAATCTGTTACTCACCCTATGGGTAACCAGTACAATGCATGACACACTGCGAATATGGGTAATTGAGATGGATAGAATTTGAACTGAACCATTTCCCAACTTGATCACATGGAAACAAGTTGACACTGAATATTCAACTGAAAATCAGGTCATATGCATGCGTTAAATAGCATAGAATGCAAAACAAACTGACCAATGAATTAAAAGTCAAATAATAAGATTCTCTCCAACAGATAAACCTACTATTGATGTGAAACACTGTGACACATGCATTTGTAGACTCGTCAAATAATCTTTTACAGTACTGTATGTAAAAACGGTCAACAAGTGATATAAGCTACAAAATACAGGATATTTTTGAACTTATTTGTAAACACACATAACTCAGACCGGCTATATTTTGTTGAGTTGTTGTGTACCCTATTCCAGATGGTCTGACAATGAAGGTTTTCATTGTCTTCCAATAGGTTTTCCCCATTACTGCAATTACTGAAAGCATGTTAAGTCATCTACAACTTGTTTATCAAACTGCTGGAATTCGATTCCATTCTGGACTTGAGGTGTGAGGATGGAAGACTCGCAAAAATTGAAACTGGACTTTGAGATTTATTAAACAACATATCAGATTGCGTACATTGACGTTCTTAGAAAATTATTCTCAAGTCTGTGGAAAATTCACCTTGTCACATGTTCAGTTTTTCTGACTTCTCACGTGCTTCAAACAGAATTTTTCCAGTCTACATGCATCCGAATTATCAATGTGTCACCATCAAATCAACAATAAACCAATATTTTAGAAAATGCCTCAAATTATCACATTACAAACGATAATTCGGAGTAAGATTATAATTAAGAGAATTTTTAACTCACTTTGATACAATCCAATTGATTTCCTGATACAGAATTCCTTTAAAGAATTTTAAAATACTGAACATATTAGTTTAATATGTGTCGTTAAACCAACTGGTCGTTCATTTGTTCTGAAGAAATAATAAGCCAGTCATAATTTGTAATGCTGCTGCATACTCACTGGCTGTGAACACCAATTGAATAAAGTAAAAAAAATTACCGTCGTATTTACCAATAACAATGAAAGCATTAACGGACTTCGATCGTAGTGTACATCAATATTCTAGTAATATATGATTATATTAGGGTGGGACGAAAATAATTTACGAGACCAGTATAAGTCTAATATAAGTAAGATAATAAAACTTGATTGTGTAAATTCGTCGTGATAAGTCTTGCAATTTGAACGCTATACTCGGTTCCTAAGCTGTTCTTGATTTATGCTAGACCACCATGGGAAACGCGAAAGCACTGAATGGCCGATTCGTTCTAGTATGACATTTCTCAACCGTGAACATCCACGAACCCACCCGCGGGGTTGGAATCCATGAACGTGGATGCGCACTTCTGAAGAGTCACAATTTTTAATGAAACGTCTGTCCAGTGATTCCAGTTTTTCCATTATGATCTAGCATCAAGTGGCACATGAACTCAACTATTCAATTACCATAATATCCACAAAACCCATTCTTTTTTTGTTACCAGTTTATCTATCATCTTTATTATACGTATGCTGTGACTTGTTTGACATATATAATCTATAAAAATTGTTTCTTTTCTTCAAAATTTCGTCTATCAGAGACGATATATATTTAATGAAATTCCTTCTCTAAACTTCATTGAAGAAAGCCTTCTGACGCAGCCACATGACGAATATCTACATGTGGGTTAGTTCATTTACACATGTGAAAATACAAATCCTCGTAAAAGTATGTACAAATAAGTACAATTCGATTTGAGAAATATTTAAAATGGGGAAAAGTTATTCCTCATATATTCACACGGATTTATTGATTTCCTCGTACTGATTTTCATAAGTTCTTAATTCTAAGCCAGTTATCAAAGTGATTTCTATTAATCCCAATATCACGAACCATTCGCTGATTGCACATTGATTGAATTCCTTGTAACCCTGTAATAAAACAAATCAGTGGTGTGCATTATAAGTCTACAATATTCTCTCATCTGAAACGGTTGTCCACGTCCGAAATATATTGTCATGTCATGACTTTGATCATTAAGCTAAATGTTTACGCGAGGTACGTAATTCGATTAATTCAGGCGAAGCATTCGTGTTACTTCACCGGGGCTAGAATCTAACAAGCTGTTACGTGATATTGAGTCATGTTTCGTCAAAATCCCAGTTTAATTACTGAATATTCGTGTTTACGACAGGATTTTGTCTCTCTAAACTGTTCTGTTCATTTCATGTAAAGTGACATATATGTTCATGAGTAATTCGGTATACATTCATGAATCCCATTTTGTTAAATGTTTGTTCGACGGTGTACAATATTGTCATTGTGATATTCAGTGTTTGATAAGAGTTCAACGGAAAACTTTAATCAACTGAATGAAATGTCAACTCATTTTATATACTGATTGTAAATAGTGATATTGATGTTCTGCACTCACCGGTTCGTTTTCCTTGATGTAAAACAAGTTTTTTGCCTGCAATACTAGTAGACCAGCTTGATTAAAATAAACAACTAGAGTACGGAAATACAAAGAAACAAATTCAAACGCTAAATTATTTGATGTATTGTTAATGATACCAAGTAAGTAATGATATCAAAGTCTCTCTGAAATACTATTTAATTTATACAGACCTATAGAATAATCTGTATACTTCTAACATGAACAGGCATCTAGGCCATGTTCAGGCGTTGTTTGTTTAACAGTAAACAAACTATAGAAATAGAGAACACATAATATTGATAAATGTTGTTAGCAGAAATTTGGGTGAGGCAAAGTTATGGAAAATGACTCCATTAATTAAAACCAGTTAAAATACATATCAGTGTAGATCGGATTATTGATATTGATGAACATTAGTTGTTGTTGTTGTCATCTGAAATACAGAAGATTCGGTAAATGCTCACAAGAAAACACTTACAAGAAAAAGATCCGATGATCATTTGGAGAGAAACAATAATTCTAGCAAGTAGAAACCATTTCCATAGACGAAAATTACAAACAATAAGTAAAGAACTCAATGGAATAGCGACGGCATGGCAAATAAAATTACTCAGCGTCAAATGGAAATGTAGTTGATTAGTATCTTTCATCTGCAATACAATAATTATAATTTGTCGGTTACTAGAGTAAAGAATATTGCAAAATAATTATTGTCACATAAGAGGAAACAATCACTGATTGAGAATTCCATTTTAATTATGGTTTAATTGTCTACTATCTATTCAATGTAAATACTTCGTGAATTTTATGTTCATCTGTGATCATGATCTGTCTGAAACGAGTAAATGATACGGAGAAATTATACACATATGCTCTTGACAATGTGACTTTAAGACGAGTTATGAGTTTACTTCCCTGTGTAAAGTGTGAGAGCGTAAATCGCTATTCGCCAACTAATAATGAGACAAGGCATTATTTTATATTCCCGAATAAGTGTATGAGGCTATACAACAACGTAATTTCATTCAAACATAACCGAAACACACTACTAACGTAGAACTGGTTTTTAGTGTTGTGGGAGAACAGTTGAAGAGAGTATTTATTTGCAACGAAGTGTCACAAATCTTTATCTTCAACTCAATACCACAAACTCTGTCAGTAAATATCTATTATTATAACTTGTATACATTATATAGACTCAGTACAGTCATTACTTTGTTGTTCTGAAAAATATGGTAATCTCATAGACCAAGTTGTACGAAACGAACCAAACAATGTCAAATGTTTTGGACGATTTCCTGATCATCAGTTTCAGTGATTATATTGTTTCTCACAACTGGTCTGTGGTAGCTGTGGTTCTCTCCTACCAGGTAATTTGTTGCAGTGCAGAAGTCGAACTTGACAACTGAGACAGAAATGAGGACTGTTGTGTAGGTACTATACATGACTATAGTTTAAGAGAGAATGGTATGGTCAAACTCCAGTAAATGTTTGACTACTCAGATTTATGTAAGTGGTTTATTAGCTAATACTTCCCTACCAACAAAGTTGATATCTGTTACAGCAAATGACTCAACTAATTCACTTCGTTCTTCAAATAATATAAATGAACAGTGTACAAGATAGGGATTGCCATCTCCGTTGTTTGACTTTCATTTCTCAATAATCTTACAAAGGATTTCACGAGCTGGACGTACATTGAAGAATGATAACAGAACAATGCAAATTCCTGATATCGTATAAACCAATCCAATGAAGACGCAGATACATGGACGAATTCCGAACTGGGATTTCTGTTTGAGTTTATTTATCATCATGAAGCACCAAAACCACTGACTTATAATTGCTGAAATTTCAGATAAAAACTTGGTGAGAAGTAATCGAGAGGAAAACAAGCGACTGCACTGAAACATAATGATTCAGTAATGTGTTATCATCTATACCATAAGTCATCTCACAATTTATTGCGTTGAGATTATTTATTCTCATGTGACATTTCATAGATTTATGAAAGATGAGGTATTTTCTGACTTGTCATTAGTGCAGTATTGGTGAGGTAAAACTTGGATTACTGCAGCCATTATTTAGTGGCTCTTTCTGTTTATTGAACGCAAATCCACTGTATTGATTCACGTGAGGAAATTAAAACCGTAGGTATTTGTTAGAACGTTAATTATAAGCAATTAGAAACTTGAAATCAATTTTTACGAGAATTAGAACAATTAAAATGATCGACTAAACTTTCGGAAACCGATATTTCACCAGGTTCTTAAACACATGCGCATAATGCACCGTAAACCATCACCCATAGGATTCGTTCATCGCTGAACATGGAAAAATTTAAACATGTGCTCCAATCAAGTCAGTTGTTCGTGTGTGGGCGTTGATACTGCCCAGGCGTCCAAACAGAAACAGGAGAGCACTTTTATTATTACCTATCAACGTAGTCTCTGAGTATATTCCGAATCATATTAGCTATCCTGACTGAATGAAATCCCCTAAAGAATTGTATCTGTCTTATTATCTTAATCAATGACAGTCAATAGTGTAGTTGAAAAACACAATCTAATGTACAACACAACGGATCTTAGTGTATAGAACATGT